TTCACAAGTCAGAAAATTGTTTCTTCTCTTTACAAATGAGTGAAAAATTCCATCCAAATACATGCCAATTCCTCGTTGTAGTAAGCAAATGGACTGCGGTCGGTTGTATAATCTGTGTCAAGATTGTAACCAAGACTACAAAATGCAATTTTTCTGTTCAAAGCATAACATACAATTCTGCAGTATCAAGGAAATAACTACAACAACTTTCAGTCTGGCTTGAATTCCATTTCTATCCAACGGTCATGACCGTCAATGCTGTCTTGCATGGCAGACGTTTATGTCTAATCTTGGACAGGTGTTGAACTCAAGCAGGAACTTGGACATGAGGATAAAGTGTTGAAACTGATTTTATTATGATATTCAACACTGTCACAATGGCTGTCTATTGAGAAGTGAGCAGATTGTCTCTTGACCTTAAAATGAGTGGAAAATTGTATCCCAAATAATTCTCATTCCTAGTCATACAAAGGAAATCGACTATTGTCGGTTATACACTCTCTCTGTCAAGATTGTAACCAAGACTACAAATGCTTTCACACAATCATTTTATTCAAGGGAATAATATACAACACAGTAGTATCAGGTAAACAAGTAGAATAACTTTCAACCTGGCTTGAACTGATTTCCATCCACTGGTCACGATCGTTTTAATGCTGTATAGTAGTATAATGTCTTCCATTGCGGACGGTTGAGCTGGTTGCACCAGGGTACATATTTGTAAAAACTGCAGTAAGAAGGTGTTATTGGATCGTTGATAATCCTATCAAAATAACTTGAATAGGAAACCACTTCTTATTGCTTTAATTAACCTTTAATTTCTCTTCCAAACAAGACGTCTCCTTTTTTCTGTTCGAAATCAAATATCAGCATACTGTTATGATTGTTTGTGGTCTATTTCTCATACTAGTGCTTGAACTTGGACGACAAGGATAAAATAACGCTTAGTCAAATGACGCCTATCAGTGACGAATTGCGTCCACTTTTTTTGACTAATAATCAGTATCTTAGACACCTAGGCGAGGAATCATCGATACATTGACCTACCGAATTTGGACATCATTTTGATATCCTGTAATATTGGCTATGAGGCAATCAACAATGAAAGACAATCTTGCTAGCTACGCTTTATTAATGGATTGCATTATTTTACTTTGATACTTTTAGATTCGTAGCCTACGGTATACTATCAATTTAACTGAAAATAGTATTGAATCATTGAATCAACGATTTTCGGGTGGAAGACAAAATTCACCGAACTATTCTGAGGTAAGTTGAATTGTACATTTACCCTGCTTACACTATATTCAAATAGAAATCTACTACATGAACGATCACTGCCTATTTTAATGTACAATGATATCGTCCCAAATGCGTTACTGTAAATTGTATGAATTTCCTTACTATTGCCTAATATGCGTAAATGAATCGATAATATCACGTCTTAACTAGTCAAATATCCAGAATCAAAAATTTACAAATCATATGGCCCTAAAACTTACAACACTTACTCTCATTGTTGTATCTCTTCTGTTCGTCTTTCTGCTCTTTATGATGGGTTACAGTTACACCTGTAAAGTACAATAAAATTAGCTTGCGTCATAGTACTTACATTTTAACTAATCAATATCAACTGAACATAGAAATATAGATTATGATATCGTTATACGTTCAATAAACTCTTGTATTTTGTTTATTATATCTTTTACCAATAGGAAATCAACGATTTACAAAATAGACTAGCTGCTTTAAAAGCACGCTTACGCCATCTAACTGATCAAAGAAGTAATGGTCGTGCTCCTACAAGTACTACCAATAGCTGGAACAGCAATGATAGTAGTCAAGGTAATTCAACGTCTCAATCATTGCCACCAATAAAGCGTGGCCAATTACGAGCCTACCTACCAAATGAGCAAAGGACTGTGGTAAGCATTGTAAAACTTAGTGTACGTTTCTATTATGGTCTTAATAATAGTTGATAAATAAGACTCATTTCAATTCATAACAGACTATAAACCCTGTTCTTGTTAGCTGACCTAGCAAAAGCTCTACACATTTGATATTTAACTGGTAATGTAGTGTTGTACTGCATACTTTTAAAATAATCTAGCGTCACTGTGATGTCACTCTAAAATATGATTATAGCAGTTTTTCAATTTGGCTAATTTTTTTTATGAACCGTTAGTTGCTCAACATAATAAGTCATAGGGGCCCTAAGAAAGTAACCATACGTATATGTTGTTGCGCGTGTATGATGATAGTTTTAAAAACCAAGTATACTTGTATTGAAAATTTTGCTCTGTAAAATATTCACTACTACATATGTTAGATAGAAAGCATGTACAGTCCAATCTTTTAAGGATTGATAATATATCAACAATATTAAATTATGAATGATATGGCAAAACTATTTCTACCAAGTCATTTTCTATACTTTCAGAACACTAACTGACTTTCACTATGCTCACTATTGAAGTACTAATTTGCGCTCATTAACATATTTTACATTGTGCAGCATATGTCGTCTAATTAAATTATCACGTCAACATAATTCTTAAATAAATAATCTCTTGTTAAATTTGTTAGCATCACTAGATTATGTAGGCTTACAGCGAAGTATAAATTGATCATATCGTGCAGTTTCAATGATGTTTCATCCAATGACTTATCTACTATATACTTCATTTTATTCTTATTGGTAGTTTATGCAGTTGGTAACAATGTCACAACGCAAATTAGGCACTAGAAATAATAGTATCACCTTTTAAAACTAGGTACAAGTTAAACCTGGCGTAACCTTGCGTTCCGCATTGACTAAAGCGATGAAAATGCGTGGATTGCAACCTGAAACTTGCGAAGTTTATAAATTTCGATCGCGGTAAGTCAGTCACCTGGTAATGTTTGGATAATGTACCCGTATTCACTTGCTAGACCCATACTGCACTTGAATGTAATTCAACAGCCCTAGAAATTGGACTGAGCTGGAGATATCGTTATAATACAATATCTTCATGCAAGAATGTCATGTATTACAACGATATAGTGACACTATGGTCTCAGTTACATGATGGTGTATTATATACTGAAGCAATAAAAAGACTTCTAATTAGTACGGTGTTATAATTCAATCGATTATCATGTAGGACTCCTATCGATTGGGAAACTGACATGGCGGTCCTTGAAGGTGGAGAGGTAAGAAACAATCGCTGCAATCTTTTTTCCAGTTTATCGATTTAAGTACAGCACATTTTACAACTTTATTACGTTTCATTTAAATCAAAAGAATTAAAAAACTATAGATCTGCTTTCACATAGATCATAAATTCGATATTTAAATATGATTGCTGTTTCTTTCCGATAAATACCTTATCTATTTCTAACTTCAAAAGCCCTCTCAAACACTTTCTAGGAAAAGAGAATTTGTCGTTAACTATTAGTTCCGTTATCTCATGTTTCTTTTTTATCTGCTTACAGTAAAAATGTATGCTTTGCCAGATCTCGGATCACATGAATATTAATTTGCTCTGTTATGTCCATTTTCACGTGTAGATTTCAGTTGAAATTAGAGAACAGTTCTTAGAAGCCACTGGCATAAAACATTACTTTGTAAGTACCTTGTATCGCTTGTTATCCTAGTAAAATTGAGCATGGCTGATTATAATTTATTGATTAAGTTGCATGATTGGCGCTTACTAAATTGCAATGTAACTTACCTTTTTCTAACCAACTGCAGGTAAAGAAAACCTTTTTAACACCTACTTTATGTAACAGTTGTCATCGCTTACTCATTCAAGGATACAGGTTTAATTACATATAATATAACTTTAAATCACCATATGTATGATTACATGATACTTGAATTAAAAAAATCTGCCTACATCAAACCAACTCTTAACGTAATCTAGATAATAGATCATACAAATCAAAATTATTATGATTTACTTTGTATCATTATAATTTTGCAATAGATGCCAACGTTGTGGATTTCGATTCCATCCCAAATGTGATGCTTATGTACCAGCGATATGCGTTCAAAATGGAAATAGCCACGTCATTCAGTGGTGAGTTAATCAATCCATTCATGGTTGTAATTTTATAGTGGAAACATAAATTTATTGTAAATGATTTCAATTTTTATGTTGTTGTGATCACACTAGGATGTTAGCTAATGAAAATAGGGCTGTTAAAATAAAGACGGTTGAAGACCCTAATCGTCCTGTCCCTGCACTTCCATTAACTCCTGAATCACGTATTCGGTCAACTTCTTCACCCAATGTTAATATGGATATAGATCAGGTAAGGGTATTGATTGTTTTCATTTTCTTTTCAATAGTTTTAATTAATTCTACGTATCAAGAATTTGTGTTACTTCTATTTATCGTTGGATAAAGAACTAAATAATAACTAGAGTATTTTTGCTACTTGTAGAAAAATTTGAGAAATACGGTGCCGTTACAAGGTATTGAATTTATTTAAATAGTTAATATACATAATTTATAATGAATTTGCATTCAAATCAAGATTGTCCTTTATGATGTATACCATGTGTTTGGTAGTAGAAAGAATCTCTTATCATGGTTTTATAATTTATCTCAGTAGGAATACGTTCAACAGATACAAAGCTTTCCACTGTTGATTCGATAACTCTTCCCAGGCCAAATAACATTCCAATACGCTCCCAATCACGGCCGCCCACCAATCTCATTAGGCCGACGGTAATAATTTCTCCTAATGAATCATCAAATCCTACGCAAGTATCTTTCGCAGATGCTAAAGCAGCCGAACGTGTGATAGTTTCAAAAGAGACTTTATTACCAAAACCTGAAGATGATGCAAATTCTGGACGATCAAGGTCCAAATCAAGTCCAGACGAAATGCGTCTTGTTAGTACAAAATTATTTAATCTTTTTCTCTATAGGAGAAATAGCATTGGCTAAATTATCTAAGTACTTACAATTTAAATCATTCCTGTTACATAGCCTCGCAAGCGACATGCGAGAACAAGTGATGACTGGGAAATTGCACAATCCGATATTACAATTGGACCAAGGATTGGATCCGGTTCATATGGAACAGTATTCAAAGGACATTGGCATGGTTCGAATTAAAACTGAATTTCGAAATGCTACTGATAGATAGACGAATATATCGGTTATAACTTCTATCTGATCTTTCTATTATAGGACCTGTTGCAATAAAAAAGCTTAATGTTACAGATCCTACCCCATCCCAACTACAGGCTTTTAAGAATGAAGTTACGGTTTTAAGGTGAACTAAATTTACTTAGCAATGTTGCAATGATCAAATATTGAAGAGTAATATGTCCTCATATATTGCTGTACGTTCTTTATTCATATTATTATTTATACCTAGGAAAACACGACATGTAAACGTTTTATTGTTCATGGGTGTAATGTCCAAACCCTTCTTAGCCATCGTTACACAGTGGTGTGAAGGATCAAGTCTTTATCGCCACTTGCATGTAATGGAAACTAAATTTGAAATGCTACAGATTACGGAAATAGCCAGGCAGACAGCGCAAGGAATGGAGTATGTTATCAAAGTCTCGATTTAATCTTAAAATAATAAATGTTACTTTATGATTGGCTATCTATATACAGAGTATTAATTTTATTGTCTGTCGTAAAATCTTATCTTACAGTTATTTACATGCGAAGTTCATCATTCATCGGGATTTAAAATCAAATAGTATCCTAAAACTGTTAATAGACCGTATATGTTTGCAAATACTACTGATTATACTTTTAAATTTGCTCTCTAATTTTATTTGATCCAATCGCATTATTTTATTGTATTTCTTAACGATTCGAAGACATCTTTTTACATGATGATTTAACTGTAAAAATTGGAGATTTTGGTTTAGCAACTGTGAAATCAAGATGGAGCACATGTCAAGATAGTGAACAACCGTCTGGCTCTATATTATGGATGGTAGATGCATTTTCACTCAACTTAATTTCACGTTATAGATTTAGTCACTATTTAACATGAATATGTTTGTGCAGGCGCCGGAGGTCATGAGGATGCAGGACGTTACACCGTACACGGTCAGGTCAGATATCTATAGCTTTGGCATGGTGTTACTTGAATTAACAACAGGAGAACTGCCGTATTCTCAAAAGAGCAGAGATCAGGTAAATGCAGATGAATGTATAATATCGATATTACAATTACTAAAAAATGTAAATTCATACTTTATCTATACAAGATAATATTTATGGTTGGATGTGGACTTTTGAAGCCAAACTTGAATCAGTGTAGACCGGAAACACCTAAACATTTGAAAGCAATAATATCAGACTGTTGTAAATATTCTCGAGATGAGCGCCCAGATTTTGCTCAGGTAAGATATATCTATTTTCGTCAATACGAAGCGAATTGCTAATTGCATTTCGTAGAAGGATTTTAACACCGATAATATCTGTCGCTTCTGCAATTTAGGTGTTGGGGGTACTGGAAAATTTGGCGCAAGATATCCCAAAAATCCATCGTAGTATGTCAGAACCGATGATAAACAGACCAGATGATGCATTAAGTATTGTTGGCACTCCAAAATCGCCAATTCCCAGTGCTTATGGGAACTTTTCATTTTTATCCAATACGAATACAATTGATAGCAAAATGACTTAAGTATTATGATACTATATCCGTTTTATATTAAACTCATGTAAAATCGCGAAAAAATCATATTTTAAACTTCTGTACTAATTCTGTAAAATAAGATACGTTTGTTAGATAGTGTAATGGGAAAATTTACTTTCCCGTGCGAAGGATTAAAAGATTTCCTATCTTCAAGATGAAATGTAATATAAAAATTTAAAGACAAAGAGTTTTTAATTATTTATTCAGTATGACACGTAATCATAACTTTTTTCCTAGCCGGGAACATTACGACGGTAATTTTACATAATTACTGCATTATTAACGAAATACGCAGTGCTTTAAGAAAAAAAATTGAAAATAATTTACTCTATTAATCAATTGTAAATGATACCAAATTTGCTGATATAACTTTACGAAGGTGAGGAATAATTATTATAGGACTCTGCTGCATTTTTGCACAGAGTGATGAAATTTACTACCGATATTACATTATACCGTACTATTTATAACAACTTTATTACAAGATATACATTATTATCGCAGATGCTTATTTTAAGATGTGTTACTTATCATCGTGATGTTGTTTCTGCGCAATTTACTGCTTACTATATATGTATTTTAACTGTTCGGATAAAGTTAATGTGGCGCTGCCTGTTTTACCGCAACATTAATTCTCTACTATTATACGCCTATGTACATGAATAAGACTATGAATACCGTGGGTTAAATATGTATAGCTCTTTAAGCCTGATTCTTAACCCGAACTAAGTAAAATTACACTTCTCTCTATTGAAATGCTATAAAACTATTAAATGGTGTTACTTGTCTACAATATCATCGTTCCTAGACGAAATTAATGACACGAGATCTGTATAGTTTCTTATTTGATGAAATCATTACATAAGAAATTATACAGACCCCCTATCATTAGTTTACCTTATTAATTAAATTTCAAATAGGAACATATCGACACTATTCGTAAGCTAACATCGTTAACCTAAAAGATTGAAATCTGCTATTTCTGGCTAGCTTAAAAAATTTGAAGCGCTACCTATATTGTTGTATTTGAAAATAGTAATATTTATATGTTTCCGAATTCTAAGTTGTTTCGTCTGCATTTGTAATAAACCCTTTACAATTTGTCTGTAATATATGCGTTGACGTTAGTATTGTTCAACAGTTTTGGAGTATTGTTGCCTAGTTGACGTACATACCCGTATGTGGATTTAAGAGGAGAATCATAATTCTCTTAGCAGGAATAGCTTTAATTTACTTTCTATAACTTCGGTAGAAAATACGAATGAATTACTTTGTAATGGTATTTATTATATACGTATCAAGTAGCTACATTATGCGAGATGATAAGCTGAAATGAGCTGCAGTATATGCGAATGTCACTTAGAATAACAATTTATTTTATGGCAACATTTAGTATTATTCTTGCCTAAGTGACTACAATTCATTAGCACAGCATTCAACGGTTTCATATTCCGACGTAAGTTTATTGTAAGCACAGCCCTTTCAAGATGAATAAAGCTGCGGAAGACATTAGCAGAGGTGCACAAGAAGTATTTCCAGAGTGATTAGATGGAAAGTTATACAAAGTTTATACGTGTAGAAATCTAAAGTGGTTGGCAAAACTAATCACTATTAACTAATGAATTCTATAGTGATGTTGAATAATATTCTAAGTGATACGATCATATTACGCGCGTACAGTAGTGTCCAGTTAATACGCGTATAAGTAAAATAACTGCTAGTGTTAATTTGTTCAGAGTTACCGCTAATTATATCTTTTTAATTTCTTCAATCTCATTAGCCTCTAATATACTACAATCTCCAAGTCTAATATTATGTTTATAAGGTTTTAATACGGCGCATCGCATGATTCATACAAAAACATTGTTATTATACTGAATAGTTAGCTATTTGAAAATAATTCGATTTGAAACCTATCTTGACTTCAGAAATAGCAAGACCATCCATCTAGTATTGTAATACATTCAATTTATTTTGATGGCATAAGTTAATAACATTAACAAGATCTTACTATAACAATAACTTGGGTATATTATACGTAAGTCGATTAAAACACAGCTATACGAACAATAAAAATTTGTTATATAAAATAAGATTAAACTATCCAATCCAACAATGCTACAAAATATGAAAAAGTCTTTAATGTAACATTTAGAAACCTCGCAAAAGTATGAATAATATACACTATTTATAGATATCATTTTTAGATATACACTGATATTTGAACAATCTTGAATAGTATTGATTTTAAAGTACTATCGGCTATTTCAGTATCAAAATATATAGCGACATTGCTATACAACTAAGGGACACCATCCAATGTAGCCTTGTGCCAATAATTGAAGCTACAGAAAAAAACATTAAGAAAACCTGCTTAAAAATTGCTAGAATGAATTTGTAAGGCATTCTATATACAGTAATAGAGATTTTACCATTCTACATCGATTACAAGTGTACATTTTCTCTTAATAAGTAAGTAAATTCTATGATTTCGTGGTTCAATTAGGGTCATATGGTTTCAAAATCTCTCAATTTTATATATATTCAGTGGATTTGTTTCGTAGCAACAATATCCGTTTATTTATTTGGTTTCGACTAACCTAAGTATTATATCACTATAATCTATTGCATAGGATAATAAAATTACTAAATCAAGCCAATGTACGCCACCTAAAGGCTTTTCTATCTGCTTATTCTTGTATAAAATCTAAGCTTTCTATTTTATAACTATAATCAGGTCGATTCGAAAATGCATGACTTGTTTCGTTATAATAACGTCATTCTAAAGTACCGAGATTATTCTAAATGTAGTAATGTATGAGAAATATTAATCTAATCGGTAAGTCTATCAATTTTAACTAGTCTATTCTTAACTATCCACAATTGGAAGTTTTCGGTATACTGTGTGATACTAATTGACATTTTAAACCTATCAGTGGTGGCATTTTTTATGCAATTTAGCTACCTTTGTAAAGAACACCCATCAGACCTTTCTTCTCCGTTAATAGCCATTCTCGGAGTTTAGGAATATGTCTCATGTAAGCACAAGTACAGATTATTAGCAGGCCAATTGCTAGAACTCCATCAAAGCTATACGCTGTAAATAAACAGTGCCAAAATAATTCAATCAACAACAAGTAATGAGGGAATATTAGATGCTATCGATTACTCTAGCACAGATATCGCCTCAAACAAAACTTTACTAGTCTATGAATATTGTAAATAATATCGATAGCACTCAATAAGGTAATTGTAAGCTACTAAATGTAGTCATTTAATGTTAACATGGAATGGTTGACTTGCTCACTTCTTTTCTTAGACAACAGGGACCATGATTCAAAATGGAGTATCAACATAACTCATCAACACTTAACTGGAAAAGCTTACAAGATACATCAAAGCAAGAGTTACTAGTTCAGTACAATGTTGCGACGTGCATGCTTCAGGTATCACTAAGGATTGAATTGGATGTCATGGAATAGGCATTTTTATATGATGATGATCAAAATCCTTGTATCTATTTGACGCCTCCATTACTTTACTTGTACAGTATGTTAAAACTATACTATACCAGTATACAGTATACTAGTAAAGTAGAAGGATCAAGTTTTTTAATCTTCCCTTATAAAAATTGCATTCTGCATAGTACAAGCTGGCAAACTAGACTAGACGATGATTATCAATGCTTGATGTAAAGGCTAATATCCAAAATAATAACTACTCACTCCTTGGCAATCCACTGCCAGTTATTGAAGAGATTAATTACGACTACATCATGTAAACCGCTATTCATATCTGCATGCCAGCGGCATTCAAACCCTATCAGCAAAGGTTTATTGGATAGAGAATCCATATTGGTCAATCATGATATTCTATATTATCCCCTAAAATATTCAATCTATACCCACGAATGCCTTATCCCTATCCAGCTTGTGCTGAAGTTGTATACTATATATACGTTTAGAAGATCGTTTGAGTTAGCGTTATTACCATTGGTCATTCTTTCTTCTACTTGTTCTTGCAGCCACACAATCGATCAGCTCTATGGAAATAGTATCACCGAGTAGATGGAATACAGCGTCTTGGTTATGATTGAAGTATGCGTTACAAGGATTAGTGAGAATTTCCCTTTTAGTCGTTGTTGAAATCGCGGTGAGATGGACAGAAAGCTCTTAATGGTCGCTTCTACTGCTCTGCTGTATCAATCTAGCCGCCGGGTACTATATATTAGTACCATTCCGTCAGCATTGCATCGGATCGATGGACAAGTTATTCATACGATCTTGTAAACCCCTATCGTGCCTATACTGTAGGTACCAGCGATCATGCCGTTTAATCACTGGTAGAATAGTGCATAAAACTCTCCCGATGCAGCCATTGCAACCTTTCGATCGATGACCTAAGCGAACAAATGATGTTCAAAGCATAGTGGGTTTACAGTAAGATGAAGAGAGCGATCGGACAGGCATGCCAACAAGGTATCCAATACTACTGCAATGGACAGATGGCCATGATTTTACAGTATACGACTATGAAATGGCTTCTCCTTGATTTCCCTTGACAGTATGAAGAGTATACTATTCGCTATTTCCCCTTTCTATCATTTTTTCAGAGGTAAACGGAAACGGTAAAGCCATGTTGATGAAGAAACGATGGAGATCAACAGTAATATCCGACTCCTACAATTTTGATGGACTTTGATGGTATTTTCATACCGTTGATACGATGAGAGTATCAATTTGTCGCCATTCCATCAGTATCATGGAAAGTCAATGAAATTGGGTTGTCTTAAGCTCTATTTACTAGTCACTTTTCTATCTACTGTAGTTCTAGAGCAAGCATCAGTAACAGTAAGAGCTAGATCGGAAAGGCACATCGCCTACTGCTTTATTGCAATCTTGACTTCAATTTAGTCTATCAAAACTGTCGGAGTCAAATATTACTGTTGATCCTACGACGATATACTATGGCTTTCTTGAAGTAGTCCATGATCGGGATTCCTTCCTATGGATACCGATTTCTACTCATTTTTGGACCACAGTATGTTAATCTCATGGCAGCACTAAAGTGGACTGTAGAGTAGAAAATTTCTCTTTTCCTAATAGACGATGATGAGTTAGTTTATGACTGGCTTATCCATCTACTACAGCCTACCATCAGCGGATGGTAGGCTGTATGATAGCCTACTAGCCATCACTGTGTCAACGAAATGCGAGAGATAGCTCGTAAAGGATAGTGGACTAATTTCTGTCCTTGAACAACTCCCCTTGTCAATCAAATTGCAGCTGATTAATAAATTAATTCATTATTGCCTGCACAAGTGGATTAACCTTGACAAGAACAGACAAAGCCAACATTAGAGCTAAAGAATGTAAATTTGTGATGCAAAAATGTGTAAAACAGATGTCGTTTTCAATCGATTACGTTATTACGAACACCGCTTAGCTGACGACATTGGTTTTGCATCGTTGCTACGCAACTTCTTGTACTCTACAGTAGGTCAATCTGTAGTCTTAGCCTAGCCGCCGCTAATAAGCCTTCCTTTGCTATTTAATTAATATGTAAAAATTATTTCCTGCACTAGTCGATTAACCTTGACAAGAACAGACAAAGCCAACTGCAGAGCTAAAGGTTGTAAATTTGTGATGCAAAAATGTGTAAAACAGATGTCGTTTTCAATCGATTACGTTATTACGAACACCGCTTAGCTGACGACATTGGTTTTGCATCGTTGCTACGCAACTTCTTGTACTCTACAGTAGGTCAATCTGTAGTCTTAGCCTAGCCGCCGCTAATAAGCCTTCCTTTGCTATTTAATTAATATGTAAAAATTATTTCCTGCACTAGTCGATTAACCTTGACAAGAACAGACAAAGCCAACTGCAAAGCTGCCTTGTGTGGCCCTTCACTAAAGCAAAATGATTATGCTGCAAAAATGTGTAAAACAGATGTCGTATTGAATGGGTTACGCAACTGGCGACATTGGTTTTGCATCGTTGCTGACTCTCCAAGCTGGACAACTTATTGTACTGTAGGTCAATATGTAGTCTTAGCCTAGCCGTAAATAAACCTTCCTCTGCTATTGAATTAACATTTAAAAATTATTTCCAGCAGTCTTAGAGCTAAAGATTGTGATGCAAAAACGTAAAACATGTAATGTAAAAGGTAAAACAGATGTCGTATTCAAAGGGGTACGCACCTGGCGACATTGGTTTTGCATCGTTGCTAACTCTCCAAGCTGGGCAACTTATTGTACTGTAGGTCAATCTGTAGCCTTAGCCTAGCCGCCAATAAACCTTCCTCTGCTATTGAATCAATCAATATTTAATAAAGATTATTTGCAGCTGCCTTACAGCTGAAGACTGTGATGCCAAAATGTGCAAAACAGATGTCATATTCAAGGGGTTACGCAACTGGCGACATTGGTTTTGCATCGTTGCTAACTCTCCAAGCTGGGCAACTTATTGTACTGTAGGTCAATCTGTAGCCTTAGCCTAGCCGCCAATAAACTTTCCTCTGCTATTGAATTAATATTTAAAAATTATTTCCAGCAGTCTTAGAGCTAAAGATTGTGATGCAAAAACGTACAACATGTAATGTAAAATGTAAAACAGATGTCGTATTCAAGGGGTTACGCAACTGGCGACATTGGTTTTGCATCGTTGCTAACTCTCCAAGCTGGGCAACTTATTGTACTGTAGGTCAATCTGTAGCCTTAGCCTAGCCGCCAATAAACTTTCCTCTGCTATTGAATCAATATTTAATAAAAATTAATTATTTGCAGCTGCCTTACAGCTGAAGATTGTGATGCCAAAATGTGTAAAATAGATGTCGTATTCAATGGATTACGCTGACTATCATTGGTGACATTGGTTTTGCATCCTTGCTGACTCTCCAAGCTGGGCAACTTCTTGTACCGTACAGTACTATAGGTCAATAAGTAGTCTTAGTCTAGCCGCTAGCAAACCTTCCTCTGCTATTTAATTAATATTTAATCAACTGATGAATGAGTCACTACCGTACCATCTGTAGGCGCATTCCTGCACGGTTAATCACGGCGTCGTTCCACCGTCTGTCCGCCAGCAAGTCTCTTGCCCAATCAGCATTTTGTCAGGCGATAGTCTAGGTGCCCAAAAGGGGCCCAATATCGTATGGAAATGTATGGTGGAACGAGCCGTATCTGGTAATTGTATGCAAAGGAGTCCAGTATATCTAGCTGCAACCTCCTTGCGTTGGCTTATTTGCTGGTAAGAGAAAGCAAATGGCTGCCACAACTCCTCGCCGAGCCCTTAAACCGAAAAGAAATCCCATCACCGACGACTATGTCATTTCCAAGAAAGTTCTAGGTCTAGGAGTCAATGGTAAAGTTTTAGAGTGCACTCGAAAGGGCAGCAATGAAGTGTTTGCCTTGAAGGTAACATGATGCAACCTCGTGCAATCGCTTGTACTATTTCTTGTTTTTTTTTGCAAATTTTTTTTTTCTCCCCTCTCTCTCTCCTTCTCTCGCTCGATGGAGTGGTACAATAATTTCGTCGATGATTTAAAGTGACGTACGATAGCGTTCAAGGATGACTTTGATCCAAGCATAATTAAGATAAACAGTCTAGACAATCGATGAAACGTAGTGAATGATTTCCTATTTCTGCCAAGGCTAAAAGCATTTCGATAGCCCAATGTCGATTATACTGTAAGTCAATATCGGCATACAAGCAAAAACAACCACTGTCTAACAAGATAAACTTGCATTTGTATACCGTATGAATGAATTTGAAATGGCATCATCAAGGAATGACACCATTAGTCGACTCTGTCAATCATTTTGCGAGATCCTTGCATCGATGGGCCATCAGTGGAAAATTAAAATTTACCGTAAAGCTCAATGGATAGACGTATTGACACTTTTTTACTTTACTGGTATTTCCACCATTGTGCTGTTATGAATTAAAATTCAATTTTACAACATGCAAAAAAATTCTGCCTGCCAATACATAGTTCTTGTATACTGCAAGTTCTCCTACCTGTTTATTTAAAATTGGAAAGCTGCCATAACTAGGTGCAAACGACGGGCGTTTTACGACAATCTATTTTCACTTTACACCTATTTCGTAAAGCCATTACCCCACCTTGCTTCTTTACCTTTCTGACTTTTCGCCTGAAATTGAATAAAGAGCGAGACTACATTCATATTTAGTTCATTCTTGTCTTCACATTACGGTATAGACATATTGTAGTCAACTCACTTATTAATTAAATTGAATTTCGATTTATATGCAATAAAAACCAGATCCAATTGACCACCTACGCGATACGATAACGTATTTTCCCCTTCTACTGCAATCGAATCTTGCCCCATTCATCAATCTCTCATTTTTTTCTAGTGTATCATTAGTATTAATTCAATCGAGGTATTGATGATATTCTTGAACATCATGAAACTTTTTTGTATAGTCATGTTAGATCACTGTTCCTCTAGCTTGTAGGATTTACCGGCTAATCAATATCGAACAATATCTTGTATTGCTTGCATTGTAGCAGTTGGTATCGACTCAAAACTAATTCTAACGCTACTGTTTTTTTTTTATTTTATTGATTATATCGATACAATCGATGTCGTAGATTCTCAAAAGCGTACCTAAAGCTAGAAGGGAATTAGATTTACACTGGCGCTGTTGTGATCACCCAAACATTGTCAAAATTATCGATGTCTACGAAAACAGAGATAGTAAAGATATTTACTTGCTAGTGGTCATGGAATGGTAAGTTTGCGATGTATACCTTACATTAGTTTCTTTATGCTATTTTAGGAGTAGTGAACAGTAATTACATGACCGAAGCACTTGATCCGTTGATCGTTAAGTAGCGACAGCAAGTGGTACTTTATTGATAGTAAATCCAATGAAAGAACAAGGAATAATCTTATTCAAAATTGAGTCATTGCTGTTACACATTGATACCGCGGATTGCGTTAAAATATCAAAGTAAACTACATCAATCATAAACCATCTTAAACTGTCATTTGGTTTAAAAATTAGGATTGACAGTCTATTCATTATCGTCTCTAACATAAGTTATACGACCTATTGATTATATCAGCGTGTTGCTTTTTCTCATTATTATTCGATATCTTTAGATCTTGTACTCACAGTAGTCTGCTTTTAAGCGTAAAATCAACATGTTTAGATATAATAATTGTAGTATTATAAAAATAGAGATTAAACTGAAAATATACTTGCTTGACACTATAGCATGAAAGGTGGTGAATTATTCGACCGCATTCACAAGAGAGCTAATAGCGCTTTTACTGAAAGAGGTAAGTGATCGATGGTTGTTTGCTATCAACTAATAAGTTAATTATCAATGATATTTTTAAGGGTTAAATTGTTCATACAAATTATGTTGGATTTTTCAATTATTAGTACTGTAGTTAGCATAGAGGCAAAACAGTTCCGTATACATATCGTTAATACATCCTCAACATTAAGTAATGTCTCGGTAGATGAGTTGTACCTATACAGTCCATGCTATAATGATCTAAAGGGAAACGACTAGAACCGATATTGCTAATTAAAATCAATTGTAATGCGCTTTTCATCAAAAAAGTTTTTTGTCGGCATCTTTTGTGCCTGACTACTGCCGTATGTATGAGTATATTGTATAAGAGTCAATTTGGTTTAAACGGTATAATATTATCATCACCATTATTATACCGGCATAAATACTAGTAATATTAGGAACTGATCTTATACACTGAAAATTCATCGCAGTGTTGATATGCTATACGCATTGCGGCAATACTTTATTATACAAATTAAAGTGCACATTCTATGATATTACTCTGTTTTATAGAGTTTATTCTGTTCCTACCTACATTTCTTGTTCACGATAATTATCCTTTGTTGCCTGCAATAAAGTTACGAAATTATCGATAATGCATTTTTATAGTGATAATTAGACCGGAAAATCTGTTTGTCAATAAGACATGCTACGATATCGACAACGTAATTTTGATGTTATTAACTTTAAAATATGACTACCGATTTATTTCACTTCTAATGAGCGATATTATTCTATCACAATCGATTCCAATTACTACAGAGGCCGCCGAAATTATCAACAATATTGCTAGCGCCGTGGCTCATTTGCATGTAATGAACATTGCACACAGAGATTTGAAGGTAATTCTTAGGCTTTTATGATTGAATGATTTAGAATAGTAATAGCAACATCTAACAATTTTTTTAAAGTAGATGAAATGTCAATGATATAACATAAACCTCAATGTTCACTACTAAATGCATTTTATAGCCGGAAAATTTACTCTATACGGATAATACACCCAATGGAATTTTACAGCTGACCGACTTTGGTTTTGCCAAAGAAGTTAACGACAAATCCCTTAAAACACCCTGCTATACTCCGTATTATGTTGGTAAGTAAAGAGTGTAGCTGTAAGACTATTAGACGAGCATTACAGTAGTACGATGTAAGAAACAACTTTGTACTAATGCACAATATCGATTATTGAACTATTTGTAACTTCACTTTAGCTCCTGAAGTATTGGGACCAGAAAAATATGACACATCGTGTGACCTATGGTCTCTTGGAGTTATCGCCTATATCCTGTATGATTTCTTTGACTGTTATAGAAATTTGCTGTTATTGTATAAGTTTTTTAAATTTATTCTGACTCGGTTGTTGATTAATAATAATCTTTTTCAGTTTATGCGGATACCCTCCTTTTTATAGCGCTGGTGGAGCTCCTATGTCACCTGGTATGAAAAAACGCATTCGAAATGGCCAGTATAGATTTCCGGATGCCGAATGGGCCAGGGTATCTCAAGAAGGTAAAGACATATATAAGCTATGCTTTTGCGTGTAGCTAATAATACTGTCATTTACAAATCATCTCTTTTTCACAGCTAAAGACCTTATTAAAGGGCTATTAAAAACCGACCCCAATGAACGCTTAACCATTGATAAAGTGTTAAAATGTAACTGGGTAAAAGTAAGTGAATAATCAACGCAAAGTCGTTGTACTAACTTGCACATTTCACGACAGGAATATATATATAACAGCATAATAATTTCCCAACTAGAAATACAAAGATGTTCCAGAGACGCCACTGTTATCTGCAACAGTACTAAAAGAGGAAAAAGATATGTGGGTTGATGTCCAGGTAACATATTACTCTCTTCATACAAGGGTATAAACTGATCGATTTGAATATGATCTTAGGTTGAATTTTTCTCCATTTTGTCTTTTCAACAGGAGGAAATGACGAGAACGTTAAACTCCTTTAGACTAAATACCGAAGAATGCCGCTTCAAAGATTTAAAGATGAACTCCAACACTAACCCTCTTTTGAAGAGAAGGCAGCAAAAGAAAAGTATTGAAAACTAAAATCTACTTCTAACGGATTCCTTACATATGCGATGGAATATATTGTTGTGGTTTATGGAGATAAATCACCGTTTTACTGTGTACTTGATTTGTGTCGAAACGACATTTTATACCGTTATTTCAGAGTAGATAATTATCAACTGCTCGAAATTGTTTCAATCAGCGAAAAATTTAGATTAGTACACTTTTATTTGTATTATATGACCGTTCCTTTTTAACGTTTAATTTATTTTTAAGGCGTTAGGATTGTAGGTATTTTCAATGTGTGTAAAGTAGCAATTAAATCATTCCATAATTCAATAATAATTCGAAAGATATCATGTACCGTATGTGGTTGTAAATTCGTATATATGCATTATCCTAAATGACCGAGATTATTATATGCGGTTATTTAGTTCCATGTTGATGTCTTATGACATCATCTCTGTATAAGGATATACGATGATAATTTGTTTTTGAATTTAGGTAGGAACTGAATTAACCAAGCATCATTACATGTCTTTGCTGCTTCTATGATTTATCAACAAAGCAATCGATGATTGCAGCAGATCTTAGCACAGCGATCGTCGCATCGGTTGTCACCGACATGATGCTGATGCGGCTAATCTGATACTTATAATATAGATCTCTAAATAAACAATCTTATAAACCGGCAATGCTATCTATCATAACCATGATTTTATTGCCCCTCTAAACATCCTTCATTGAAAAATGCAAAACGAAACGTCTCAATAAGTTGGCGAAACATTTTTTAAATTATAGACTAGTTTAAAAATAGTGAGATTCTTTTTGTTAGAGTGTGGCTGTACAGTACAGTATATAATTAGTCGATAGATAAAAGGTAATGGCGAAGACAGCAGTCATTTGTACACGTCAATTCTAACCACTACTGCAATGTAAGAAAGAGTTCAATTTAAGTTTTTCTACGTGTCATATGATCATAAATGACCACTTGAGTATACATTGACGTTAATAATGGCACTCTCATCGAATTATCACCAGGTGTTTGCGCTTTTGGGTCAACGTTCAAGATTTTTCGGTCTCTTTTATTCTTAAATAATAAACCTGAAGTATTCTCCGACATGACTTGATAGTTGGGCGTCGAATTCGATGTCGATGTTTGAGTTTCCCAGTTATAAAAACTCAGATCGGATGCTCTAGGTAATAATTTCTTTTTACCAATAAATATAGGGTCAAAATCTTCCGTTTTTAGACGATGAGCATAGTCGATATATCCTAAAAATAGAACCGTAATCGATTTAGACTAAGGGTCAAGAGAAAAGATAAAGATATCACAATTTACATGAAATAATTTTGTAAATCTACGTAGTGCAAAGATAGAATATAAATCACCTGATATTTCTTGACCTCGAGAATTTTTATCTCGAATAAAAATAATAGATGTCATTTTACCACTCCTATTTGCTTCTTCCCTTTGAGCTAAAGCTATGAGAAATTCATCTTTTAATTCTTTACCAGAACTAGCTAATGTCTTTTGTTGGCCACGCTTTGATAATCGACTCGCTTCTGCTGCTTTCTTCCTAGCCTCAAATTCCTCACGTTTAAGAACTTCACCGGAGCCTCTATATCCTAATTCGACAAGTTGTCTTGCAAGTTCTTCATCTTCCAGGTAGTATAAATCCATAGGTGTAATTTGACTATCTAAAAAATCTTCGTACGTATTAAATTCTGTGACTATGCCATCGCCACTGGCTGGAACGTCGTCCTCCATCATGGTTCCGTTCCGAGTGATTGATCTGACTTTGTTGAATTTGTTGAAATACTTATCGTAGAAACGAGTTCAATAATAATGAATCTAGCCTATTTCTAATAGACTATAAATGTTTTGATGATAATGAATCTAGCCTATCTCTAATAGACTATAAATGTTTTGATGATAATGAATCTAGCCTATTTCGAATAAACTATAAATCTTTTTTGATGAAAAGTAGAAAGATAGTGTTATCAACTTTAAAATTTGTCGGTTAATCAATATTCTAACGACATAAACTATTGGAAGGGCTTGCTGCAATGTTGCCCAATTAATTGGAATGCAACTGCTTTTACACTCTAGTTGGATATTGTAAAAAAACACTATAACTCTTCTCTATCGTTAATGACTGCCTTATATTGATATGGATGTTATAATAATGTGCTTCTAGCTAGTGTTAGCGGCTACTGTTCGTATTATTTTTGTTGCATCCCTACCACCGTTCCTAGAAAGACTTGAAAGTTCGTTGATATAGCAACGCAGTACACAACATTTGCGCATGCGTAATTACCTTGAAGACGTTCTTGAAACGTACCGTACCGGTATCATTCGATCCTGGTCTCCTATGGTCGATGGCACTACGGCTACAAGGGTTTCTACTGTCTAGTAGCCATGACAAAGACCTAAAAAAAACTTCCTACTACAAGGGAAACTGCTGGAAATTTAGATCGAAACTTACTTTTAAAGCGCCTCGATAGAGCAGTTTGCCTTCTACTAATGCTAGTGTAAAGTCTAGTTAATGATCATTATTGAAATTAATTATTACTTGCTGCCCAGTGTAGAACATCAACAAGAGAGACGGGAAACTAATGAAAATAGGGAGGCCGACACTTTGCTTGCTATTTTAATTGTTGTTTACATGTGAATTAACCGTTTATATAATATTGACTGGTGTGATGAAGCAGGGACTGTTCAATTTAGTAGTTTTTGGACGAAATTAGACTAGCTTGGCTTTTATTGATTATATTACAGCAGAATAAGGTCTACTTATTCCTTTACTGTCAATTCAACGGTCTCTAAACCCTCGTAAAACAGTCTTCCACCTGGAAACAGGAATAGTAAAGCTTATAGCGGTCATCTACGAAATTTAAAAATTTGAAAAGACAATTTGAGACGATAGGGGCATCCAATTTCAGTTTATTCTACAAATAACATGGGTAGTTAGATATCTATCGTGATTGGTTAGAAGTACAATCGGCAATTTTTGAATTAAAAGGTTTCAGGAACGATGAAATATAGAGTTTGCGAGAATAATCTGTATAACAAACGCAATACTCAAGCTTCATTTTTCGTTACTTTCCTCAGCACTTTACTTGTTTGCGACATTATGGTATATTTAAATGGCATTTACAGATTTGATTTAATTGCGTGGAATATCAGGGACTTTTCAGAAAAATATTCCTCTTCTCCTTTTTCAACTAGTCCTCGTGACTACATAGGCTATCGAAATGACAATATACCCAAATTTAAAAGACGGATGTGAAAATACTTTCAGCTAAAATGAGTCAAGTATTCGTCACATCTAGGATAGGAATTCATGCTAGTTCACTTAATTATATTATTTATATATAGTATAAGGAATAGTTATCAAATTCTTGAAATACTCAAAGAAGAGAGTGTGGTAAATTTAAAATCGCCTCATAGATTAGTCGCGATCTGTAATTTAAAACAGTAGAATCACGACGCAATCAAGTTAGGTATCCAAGGTGTTAATTGAAGACTTAGCAAAGATTCATTTACATTATAAATGAAGTTAATTGATTGCCTAAATTAGGTATCTACCACCGAAATCGCACTTTTACCACCTGGCAAGATACGATAGTTTTGGATTTTTCCCTGATTGAATTTCATCTATAAACGTGTTGATATTATGTTTCCAGTCTATTAACTATCTTAATCACCGAGTTGCCTTTAGAGCGCAATAAGATCGATCGATTACGGTAATTAAAGACGTAAAACATTAAGTGCTATCAGATAGACCGTAAAGAAATTTCGGCTTGTCTTCCACAAAGAATTAGGTACAAGAAATAAGAAAGGCCTTTGACGAAACCTATTAAATCCTATCCAAACAAAGATAGTACGGTAATAAAGTTGTGGCACTACTGATCGTAACCTACTAGACTAGCATATGAAATTTTTACGTACTGTATGCTTATGTATAAAATCCACACCAGATCATATATGGTAATTATACTAACTGCATGTTTCTAAATAATCTTTTAATAAAATTTGAATTTCGCATAGGCATGCCGAGCATGGAATCCTTGATATTGTCAGTTTTAAATGTATGTTTATTAGAAAAATAACAGCCAATCTTAATAGACTGCATATTTAAATCTACAAAGTTAACAACTACAATGACTGCTCATTGCTGTATCAACCTTAGAGATACTTGCCAATTTCGGGTCGATCGCATTCATGCCGTGAAATGCCCCTAAATTAGTAAAGAAGAAGTACTGGTGCTTGCGTAATTAGATTCTAAATAACAGGTGTTTATCAAAAATTGACAACTTTGTAAACATGCAGTATCCAATCGATTTATGGAAGGCAGAGCGATGCTAGTTTAGTATAACAGATTAGGCATAAAACATGGCATACAATCTTTACCACCTGTTTCTCCTTACGGAACCTATCGAAAATGTTATAGCAATCTTTCCAGTTAGCCGTTACACCTTCTAGATTACCTCTTGCACCTAGGAGGTGTAAGGTGCTTCTTGAACTCAACGATTGTGTTTATAAGAACCAGTGTATTTTGACAACTGATATCAAATGCAGAATCAAAAATTCAAAGCAAGACCAGTCTTACAAATGCCATCGTTAATTAAATTACCCTATGAGTTGTTGCAACTTATCCTTTCTCACCTTACTTTACGTAATTTAGCTGCATTAAGTAGAACATGCAAAGAATTGCACAATTTGATAATGTCAGATTATACTTGGCAAAATCTAGTTCATCAAGACTTAACATGTAGTCCCAATCTCTTATTAGGAGAGAATTACTACTTTTTCTACAAGAGAATGTATATTGGCCATGTTGAAATGGTTAAAACCTACCTAGGTGATGATAATCAATACTGCAAATCCATTAGGTCATTGTGTACGAAATGTAATCCTGACGAATTCTCCGGATGGAAGTTAATCAGCTACAGCTATAAGATGTATTTACGAATGCCAACGCTATCAGAAGGTTTACTATTTGCGGCGCGCAATGGCTTAGAGCAATTTGGCCGCCGTATTCTTCATCAGTTTCGACGAACTTGGCATAATTATACCTCTGCATGTAGCAATTACGATAATCCCATTAAGATTGCAGCATTGATTGCCATTATTCATGACCATATTCACTTCGTATGGATGCTAGAAGCTCATGCAAGTCCGCGCCTATGGTGTCCGACTACTTTAATTAGTACCAGTGAGCAGAAATTATTTTACAAAGCTCTACTATCTCCGTACAGGACATGCCGATGTATGCTAAATCTAATTAAACCCGAGCGCATACCGCCACTCAACGCAGCGTATAATAACGATATGACTAAGTTGCAACAATTAATATCATTAAGGGGCATTAAAAGCGTCAACAAGAAAGATCGCCATGATTGCAACCTGTTACAATATTGTGTAATCTTCCAATTTAATGACAGCATTAAAATACTCATAGATCATGGCGCATCAATCAACGATGAATTTTCAAATCCTGCGATCAGCCTTTTAGAGATGATTATAATCAAACAAAATATAAAATGTTTTCAATGGTTTATTCATGATGGAAATGTTCAGCTATGCATTAAATTATCCATTCAACATACTTTTATTGACGGAATTCATTACTTGTATCGACTTTATAATCAAGAAGAAATGAAAATTATGATCCGAGAAGAAGTCTATCTTCAACTTGAAGCGATATTGAAAGATACTAAAAGCGAATATTACTGCCAATTTCTACTTGCTCACCTGGATCATTGCGATTTTTTGGATTTAATGACTATTATAAAATTGGTGCCCTACCTGAAAATAGATCAATCAACCATAACAGAATTTTATAACAACAACGCGAGCCTGTCTTTAATTTGTATGCTTAGCCGTTCTGATTTAACACCAATTCAAATAGCAAAGTCTTTACCCTACTTTGACCTTTTGCAAATAATTTTATTGCTTGCTGATAAATCACTTGATGATGATATGATCATGCTACAAAGAATATTTATCAATATAATTGATACAAGATGTCGAATTATCCTTACAGATAATCGTATGCAAACTCGCTATGATCGAGTAATTAATTATTATTTACAGTATTTGTCTGATCACAATGTCGGAATTAATCCAGCACAAATTGTTGGAAAATATAGGCTGGTATAGCATTGTATAGAATTAACAATATACATATCTATCTAAATTATTTAACTTTGGTAGCAGTATAATTAGCTAGAAGTTAGCAATTAAGTATGAGTGATACACACTTAGATTATAATTAACCAATTATAAAACGAACATCGCTTAATTCTCCTTCTTTGCCTATACAAGTCAGTGTGATCTATTACGCAACAAAAAAAATATTATGCCATAAAGTAAAACTATCAATCTATACACCATAAGTTGTCTTATGCATAACGATGGTATAATTCTAATTAGTTTATTGGCTGCTCGTAAAGTCAATTTAACTAAATTTTAAATTTCAAAATATTATATTTGATATAATGGAATAAATTGAACAATAAAGATGCTGATAGTAGCCCAAATGTGTCGCTAACTAGTTCGTATTTCCTCTTTGTCAAGCTAAGGATTATCTAAAAATTAAAATATTTTGCTTACATAATCATATCTAAGCAGCAAATACTATACATACTATAAGCGTCACAAAAAATACAATAATTATTTGATTCTAAGTTTAAGTATACCAAAGTCACATTGGCTATCGAAATATTACTCAATCCTGGATAATCCAATAGCAATGATAAATATTAGTATAACTATATTGCCTGCGTTGCGATTCAAAATTGTTTTATATCACGGTCAATGAGTACTGTACGACAAAAAGTATCATGTGGTATGAATTTCTTGAAATTTATAATTATACAGTACATCAAGTATTCAGATTGAATAAATTTCTTTCTTGGGTTTTTAATTTACAACATGAATCATACCAAAAATTTCACTTTAGCTGCTTGGTTTTGGAATTAATGTGCAAAGCATTCATTAGCCATTCCACTTTGGAAGTTGTCTTTTAGGTCATCAACTATATAATGTTTTTGCAATTTAACGTATTAGCAGTCTTGTAGTAATAGTAGTATGATTAAGATAATTCTATTCCATGAGCAAATTTTTCTTATATCCTGTAGATAAATGAAGATTATGAAGTTAATAAGATTAACTGAGGGAGTGCCAGCATTCTTTGTGAGGTAATTGCCAATAAGATAGAAAGGCCTGTAAATGTGTCAAATAGAATTTTCAGCGAAACGGCAAAGTACTTTCTTACTGTGCCAATATGAAATTTTTAAATGGAGGAGTACTGTTGTCAGAAGTTGATAAGTAAACTAAAAATTAGCCACTGTATTTAGCAACTAGCAAATAAATTTAAAATATTATTAAAAGTTTATGATCTCTAACTTATCTTTTAACGTACTAGCTACCAGTGCAAAACTATCAACTTTCGTCTGCAAATTGTAATCTCGGTTGCATGGTAATCCTAAACATTCATAACAGAATCGTTCTTTTTTTTACGACTATCAGTTTGACTAAAAACCTATGGGCAAGTGTCGATGATACTGTCTGTATATTGTAGAAACGAGAAGATGAAATGTACGAAAAAGACATTTTTGGACACTATGTTAAAGCAAAAATAGCAAATTTTTGTCAAGTTGACTGAAGCATGAACTTTTGCTCCCTGAAATAACATCAGATTCAGATGATGCACTCTTCTTCATGTGAAATGCTTGCTTTCCGTACATTTTCTGAAAGTGTACTGTACCTGTTTGCTATATATAAAGATTTAAATAAAATTTAGCTAATTTGATATAACAGAAAGCCATCCATAAAGCTTTAGATTGGCATAACTGTAAATAAATTTGCTCTATGATCGGAGCTTAGCGACACTGATGCGATCCAAATTTTGTGGTAGCGCGGTTTACTGACAGAATTCCTTTTATTTATCTTCCTATTCGATTTTAACAAGATTAGTGCAACTAAGTAATTATGGAATTGGTATGTTACCATCAAATACAATTTAAATCTTTAAAATAGCTGCAATTAAAAAATTTATTCCGCTTCAAGAAAAGCTTACGGTACTATTATTCTAGAAGATTAGTCGGCTTGTGGTAAATATACTATCAGAAAATTGTTTCCTGACCCAGGTATTAACATAGAAAATGTGAGATCGATTGGTACTAATTTGATTGCGATTACAATTCAGAGAGGTTATCCTTGTGGCTCCGAAATTGATATATCACCTTATTCGCTGATTTAATTTTTTTAACAGATGGATGGAGGAAATTTTTAATCGTGATAAATTCTAAATTTTCCTCTCAAAGACATAGAATTTCTGTGTATCGCGCTTAGACTGTCGATACTTCTAACCATTTTAGTGCTAGAGAAACTAGTTTATTGCAACAGCCATATAGTTCTTCTCTTATTATTACAATTTCTCTGCTTGATGCTTGATGTTTATCAATGGATAGGACTGTCATTGACAGAGTAAACAAATTCATGACTGGTAGGAAAATTAAATACGGACAACATTAATAAAACCAAGGCTAAATTCTCATATGTTACAGTATAACGGTGAATAGCCAGAAAAGTTTCTAAATTTATACGTGTATTTGTGCGTGATTGCGTATTCATTCCCTTAATATGGTCGATTAAGGTAGTTTACATCTGCATTCTTAATCGTTATTATGACAAGGCAGTCAAGGCAAAGGCAATTTAAAGTGATTTTGGTAACATCTACGTTGAATTTGCTTCCAACGATCTCGAACTAGAAAAATTTTATATATATATATCATCATAAATTTATTCCATCGTTAGTGTTCCAAGAGATTTAGGATTATTTGCCTAGACTACACAAGTCATTAAGACAAGAATCTGTAAGGTAATACCTAATCTTTCAGAAATTTTAAAAGAAATGGCAGAAGAGACAAGTTTAAGCCAAGCCGATTCAGATCAAACATTCAAAATCGATCGAATGGGAAAATTTAGACGACCCATCCGATATCGGCCAGGCAAATCTTACTCAGCTAATAACGATAAAACAAATGTAGTGAGAAATTTGGAAGCTACAGAGGATCTATCTCAAAACCATGCTGTTAACCATGATACAAGAAAAGAAAATCAATCTATTTCGAGGCAATTACTGTATGAATGTGACGAAATGATGATCGATTATTTTATGGATGGAGATTATATCGCACGGCAACTTCAAGAGGTAAAATTACAATGTCGTCGAGATATTATGACGGAATTCGACAACACCTTTGCCAATGTAATTCATCATCTGGAAAATAAAACGAAACAGTCTGTTTCTCGAACACCGTTAATTGAAAATAAAACCATCATTCGTGCTTTTAAACGTACTTAAGTCTCTATTTCAGCAGTTTACTATTATCTACGCTTTAATTTGTGATATGAATTACTCGCACCTTTATTCCTGTTATTAATAATGAAATTTAGTGAGCGTTTAGCATGTCCGTTTGATCAACCTGTTAAAATTGATCATATAATACCATCTTATTGTCGCTTTTTGACGTATATAGTAAATGTTAATGATGTCAAAGAGCCTTTTTCGTCACATAAAATATTGTATCCAATAGTTTTAATTGGTGACAAGCTATTCAATTTACCTGATCATATTTAAACTGCTCCGATTATTAAATCACTAAATTTAGATGCTCTTTAGAATGGAAAGTACTAGTTGATTGATAGCGTCTCAAACACTTCTCTTAAAGTTTTCAAAGGATTAACACATTTGATTAAGGATTTATTTCGAGAATTACTCAGTTACGATTGAGAATCAAATGGTATATAAGAAAGTCAGAAGGCATCTATCGATCAGTTAAGACTAATTTGCTTATCAACGTAGTAAATCTTCTGTTAAAAATTGTCATAAAGAAGTTTAACACTGCTAATTTACTATGGATAAAAGCGCCGAGAAAATAGTGACTGGTTCTCCTCTTTCAGCTATTGTTGTAGAGAATAGAGAGAATGTCAGCAAGGAAAAAGTAGATATTATTCAAAAGTCCGAAGACATTGCTAGCGAAAATGATACAGTAGATGAGCATAGCAGTAATTCCAATGATAGTAAATCTGACAATAATGATGAAGATCATGACGTAAAACATGAGAAAGATGCTAAGAATAATGCCAGTGCTGATCCTGAATATTTTATGAAGGAAAGATCTGCTTTGGATGATCAGACTGTAACATCAACTTCAGCGACTGAAGATGAAAGTAAAGAAAAGTATGAACAGGATCCATTAAAGCATGAAAGCATTGCCCATAACCATAGCGGTAGCAGCAAGAAATCATCTAGCGACGATGATAGTATACCCCTGAGCGATGATATTGTAACTACCAGTGTATCCAATGATAGTGATGACAATGCTTCGGAGTTGCTTGTTAGCACACCACGAAAGAGGAATGATATAGCAGAATCGGAAGAAAATCATGAAGTAAAAAAGGTGTGATTGATAATTGATAAATTAACGCTGCAATTATGTTATGTACAATATTTATTCATAGCCTGCATTTAGAAAGTTAACGCTATATCTGATCAAGACCTTCTTCTGTAAAATTTTATATTTAAACTCGTGATTTGGTTAGCCGGTAAAATTTTTTTTGAGATCTACATTCTATGCAACCGCAATGAATATTTTTTATTACCGATTATTAATAAGGAATCTCTCTATTAGCAAGCCAACTTATTTGCATAGATGAATTTTCATATTTTTATAAATGCAACAACAGGCACTAGAATTCCTTTTATTATATAGCCATACAATAATGCATATGATATTGGGTTAATTGCAACAATATAAGTGTTAGTAATGTAGATTGATTATTCGTAAAGATCGCTCTTAAATTAGCACAATCGTTGCAGTCATAAAATTTTAGTTGTAGCTTAGTCATACCTTCATTTATACAATATTTGCTTATTCAGATTGTAGTAACATAAGCGTGAGTTAGACATTAAAAATGATTTAATGGATAGGCCACGTTGATAGTATGGTTAATGATTAAGTACTGCTAACATTCAATTTAAAGCAGTAGTGATACCTCATTTACAAATTTATAAAAATATAAAAATTGTAATGATTGGAGATCATAGAGTAAACTTTGTTGCAATTTTATTTTAAGTTGCAGTGGAATAATTTTATTGGTAATAATAGTACCAGGTCCAGCTTAACCATTGATAATATAAAATCATAAAGGCTAGCTTCTAATGTTGCTTGTTTACGTATTAGATGAAAAAGGATTCGGAAGATCAGGACTGCTTAGTAAAGGAAGGATATCCAAGAAAATTTAATACCGCGAAACGGAAACATAAGAAGTCTTGTTTAATCAACAGTAAATCGTCATCCTTTTGGTATCCAATTCCTAGCAAGTATTTAGTAATCACTGGGGCTAAAAAAGATACCTTGATAACATTACGCAAATGTTCTAAGCATTCTGTAAGACAAAAGCAAGTTCCATATCGATTGCAAACTATTGACTCTAGTTTAAATCGGACGCCCGCTGGTACATGTTTTAAAAAACTCTTCGAGATGATATTTACTCATGGACAAATCACTGGTACAAAAGATTTGCAAGCCATCTTACGGTTTGGATTTTGCTATATACGCAAAAGCGACATGATTAAGAAGAGGATAAAAGAACGAACTAATTCATCTGATAAATCACTCTATTTTACTGCATCAGATATATTATACGCCATTAATGGTTTATTACCTTATTCAATGCATGAAGGTACCTTACCGAATAGATTGCAGCGTACCATTGAACATATCTTCTACAATCAATTGTCGAAAGACTATCGTTCACAGCTAGATTGTCTTGTTAAAAAGCGAAATTTAATAATTATACAAGATCTGGATACGGATTGTGACGAAGTTGTCACTTATGAGATCAAATATAAGGATGATTCGAAAGTATATATTTTCTCCGAAGAAAATGATTATGTCACAGCTGAAGAGAACTTAATCCAGTCTCCTTTATGTATCGATTTAGTAAGAGGTAATAATTCTAATTTTGATTTACGCTATGAATTAAATCGTATCAAAACAACGTCGAATTTGCAAGAGAAACCTTACAAGGTTATATCAGAACTTAATCAGGGCCACTTTAAGTTCAAAAATGAATGCATCAAAATTAAGAAGAAGTATTGCAACAAGATTGAAAGTTTTAAAAAAGTGATTACAAAACGTTATACCAGCTCTGAAAGGACTATAAATAAAACAGTCAGTAATCCATTGTGGAAATGTTGTACCTATGTTGATAAGCAAGTCCATGAATATCATCATTTTGATGTACGTCAAAGGATTTTCAATAACAAGAATGTATATCTTGAGGCTCATTTTGAATTTAATGCTGAAGATTGGTATCAGCCAAGTAATGGAAAGTTATGTGATTCTGTAGTAAGTAACTTTTATAAATTTGGTCCTGAAGTTGTCTCGGTGTGGAAGGATAGTAATCATCGTTTCAGAATAGCTTGTTGACAATATAAGATTACTGAGTGGAAGGAATTTGCTGAAATTATTTCTAGTCATAGGTATATTAAGTTCACGTATCTTCGTTTTTTATGATTACAAAAACACCTAGTTCACTAGTGCCTTGAGTAAATTTCTATATACCAACTTGGATCAATGACTATTAACTGTAAGCAATCAACAGGTATACAGGATTGATATTGTGTCAACGGTAATTTACTTTTACTTCCTGTTTTATATTCGATATATTGAACTGCAGTCTGTTTTCGTTAAGCCCTTATGTGTCTGTATCTTTCAATTTACCGTTCAATTAAATTGTATTTAAAGTGGAAAAATATGGTATTGTCAAATGGCAGTCGATAGATTGATCTCATTCATGCTAGCAATTTTGTATCCATTTCGCTAAGGTAATAAAAAATAATAAATGTCCATATCAACATGAAGATATTTATTGACATAATATGATGTAAAATTAGCTATAAATGAATAAATAGACGTAGGTTATGGTAGATGCTCGGATGTTCTGAACCTAATCAAGTAATAGATGTTCAATAGTGGATTAGCAGTGGGGACTCTGCAATGCGGAGTCGTCATGACAATGATTGCGGCCATCTGCTATACCGCTCAATTGTGCAATCTTGGTTTTTGGACTTGTTTGAGTACAGTAATCGCAGACGGCCTGACCCATATCCAATTTTGTAGAGTCCGCTTGCCGAGATTACCGCAATCACAAGTGCAAGTGGCTTACTTTGCTGGCATTTAGTGTAGTTTTGAACCTAGATCACTTGTATATTAATCACAAACTTTGGAAAGTAATATTATGCGGAATCATTAAATCAGCTTCTCCTTGATGACTAGGGCAATTTCAGGCCAGAGGGGTTTTTTTTTTTTTTTTTGCCTCTTGGGCTTTGGCTTCCGTCCTTTGTACTGTACTTCTGCAGTGTATGGTACTGTAAAAAGGTGGAGGAAAGTACTGTACAGTACAGTACAATATGGTAATGTACTACAGTACCGAGTACTGTATACTGTACAGCAAAGTACTGTAAGGCAAGTGATTCTTTTTAGACGGATATTACAGTCCTTCAATCCTGGACCAGTGATTTCCATTTGTGGAAGTTGTTGTCAGTCCACGTTATTCTCGTTTCTCCACTGCTGTAAAAACTCCTTGTTAACTGATATTGGAAGCTATTTCAGCGATCACTAGGACAACATATACTCGTATGTTTTAATATACAGTAAAATTGAGAATTGGAGCCATTATTTCAATCATCATTGGGTAGAAAGAGTTTGCATTAGCGTTGCTCCTGCTATGCACCACCTATCAATCAATGGCCAGTGGAAGCAGGATACCTTGCAGGTTTGAGGTTGGCGATAGTGTATTATGTTTCGAGCCCGACCCGACAAAGGCTAGAATTTTGTATGAGTCCAAGGTATGCGATTAGATATCAATAGGAATAATTACAATCAATTGAAAGTTGTTTTGAATCTTGAACGATAATATCCAACGGCTGACTACTGCTGTTAGATTAGTTGCTTTTTAGATTGTTCGTATTACTGATACAGTTCTACTTCTATCGGTGTGCATACTACAGTACAACGACATTGAACCTTGTATTTTATTCATTAATGGATTGATACCAATACAATCATAACATTCATGCATGCAATACATTGAAGCTCGTGTTTAGACATGGTTTGCTACTTCACTGAGCACGAAAGGCTATCCAGTATACGCGTATATACAGTATATACATACTGTACAACTCGTCCTTGTACAGTGTTATCGTGATGGCCAGGGTAGTTGCCTCAACTTTGTTAACATTTTCAAACTTGTAATTGACGCCTAGACGTCCGCAATACGTGCTCCAATTGTGTTATCGTGGATATCTATAGGTTTCTTACTGGCGTGCTTTGCTCTCTTCAACGGTGAAAAGAAACACGCCAATTTTTATTTTATTACTCTGTAGTCATCGTTGTAAATGATCGTGCATCGGCATGTTGTTCTTGTTACGTCGCGTAGTCACTTTGTATGAAACGCAATGATGCAGACTTTGAGTCAGTTGTGTACCATGACTGCAGTCAGCCTATTGGCGCCCTTTACACACTACGCACAAGTGGTTTGCCTCATACTGCACACTAGTACACAGTGAAAGACAAAAGCCCATTATTGCATTGACCTTAAAAGAAGAGTGTCGTTGCTGCATCTGAAGTACAGTACAGTCAGGTACCAGTGAGAGACCAGCACTCTGTCACGGTGCTCTTTCGATACCCTTACGGAACGGAATGGAATGTTTACTATTGGACGCAATACGGTACAGTACGTTCACGGTCTGAATGTACTGTACACTGTACACTGTACAGTATTCAAGATCTTGTGAGCCAGTCTAAAATTGTCGCTCGGCTCAAATCTGACTAAATGACTGATTTGACATCAATTCTTCAACAGTATAATAATTTTAATTTGGAAGCATTTTCGCCACAGTAAAGTGACATAATTAGACAAATCTGAAGTTACTATCAATGGCATTCTAATTCTTGACTGTACGATAGGTTATCATTTTTCTTTATAAAGCCTTTCAATTGTATCTTGTATTTTTACAGGTAACCAATGTCGATTTCATTAAAGATGAATCTGGAAAGAAGACGCCACACTACCGCATCCATTTTAAGGGATGGAGTCACAGGTAATCATTACTAGCACTGGTTACGCTATACAATTGAAGCTTAAAACCGTTAGAATAGCTTAAAAATTACAGCTATTGCAGTACTGGGTACTTTTAGCATAAACACGCAGTTACCTTCTGTTTACTACCTTGCAGTATCCTTACTGTTATCTTTCTATATCATAAATCGTAGAGTATTTCCTCTAATACTCACATAGACCTACAATGTCGACTTCTTTTATTATCATACTGAAACTTTGTGCAGTAGTCCAAGAATGCTAATATTATAAGATAAACGGTGTAGAGCATACACACGATATCATCCCGTATCATGATTCGTGCAAGCTGTATAAAATAATGAAGATGGTGCTGTTTTATTTATCTTAAACAATATTATATCTGTAGCTGGGACAGATGGGTATCAGAGACCAATATTTTAGAATATAATCAAGAAAATTTACGGTTTCAAGCGGAACTTCAAAAAAAATTTACAAAGTAAGGAAAATCCCTTATTTGTTTATGTAACTTGCTGACTGTTATTGCTAAATTTCTTACGCACATGTTTCCACTAAAGTGGTTATACGGAAGTAATCTTACTTGTTATAATTCCGATTAAATCACTACAAGTATTGCATACAATGATTGAAATATGAATGCTATACTTATTGTTGTTGAGATATTCTCATGCAAGTATACCTTGCGAATCGATGCTACTTTTTTACACGCCAATAAATATTTGATTGTGACAGGAAAAAGAATGGCCGAACAAAACATTCGCAAGATAAAGACAAGCGCAATGAAAGTATCCGTATATCTGGTAGGTTTTATGAATTAATTTGCGTATATGTCGATACTGTAACACTGTCAATAAATTATATTTGACGTCGTTGTGAGTAACATACTCGCAAAGGCTTATGATATTATACATTTACCATAAATTAGAACTGAATAATGTATTTTTTGATATGTAAGATGACGATTCGGAGAGTGTTAGGTCCCCAGCTTTGGTAAGAATCTTTGAAATTTGTTTTCATGAATAAAATCTATGACTTAATGATACTAACATTATTAGTAAATGATACCTGTGTTAGGCTTTTCTACAATAACGTCATTCATTAAATATAGGAAATTAATGAGAATGTAGCTTATTGGCATTTTGATCTCGTTACAGATTGAGAATAATGGGCTATTCAGTTATGCTGACATAGAATTAAACATTCGCTTAAAGATGGAGTTAGAAAATGACTGCATTCGTGTGAAACGCAAAAACTTGGTAATAATAAAAATTTTTTAGGTTATTTTGACTATTTGAATTTATAATCTTTAAATACGGTATGTAGTTAATAAAAGTGCAACATTTTATTAAACTAACTGTGGATCAATAATGCTAGTACTGTACAATCAACTCAGTATTAATATCATTGTAAAGAACATAATGAAGAATGTTGTTCCGTAATTTATTTAGTGAGTATTTTGTAATCTTTTACTCGATTGTAGCTTGTAAGATTACCTAAGAGTCCGAACGTGTTAGACATTCTTAAGAGCTATTATGAACATGCAGAGACTTCCTTAATGGAAGGAGATAAGAATGGGTACAGTATTATCATGATAGTATCACATCCCATAGTAAGTGCTTTATTGCACCATGATGTTGTAATACTAACAATTCTTTTCGAACTTTTTATCCGCAGTCATAACATCTTACGAGAAATTTTAGAAGGAATTCGAATTTATTTCGATTTTACCCTTCCGACATTACTTTTATATAACTGTGAGAAAATTCAGTATAAACAGATACAAAGTATCATGACGGGAAGCAACGTTATTGCACCCACCTTAAAAAATGGCTCCTTTCAATCGCATTCTTCACCATGTATGAGTTAAGGATAATGATACTACTTACTGAACAGAAGTGCCCTAGTTTAATACTTGAAACTAACCGTCGTGTCATTTTTACGTCACTTAGCGTATGACGAAGAAGAAATGTCGACTTTCTTAAGCCTAGCATCTGCGAAAATTGCTAATAAATATGATTTGACGTTGTTACCTTGCCAAGTTTATGGTGTCGAGCATCTTTTACGCCTTTTCGGTGCGTATTTAATTACGGGATTGTTTTTTGGGATGGTCAGCATATCAGGCTACAATTACTTCTATTCATTTAATTATGCTAAAGAGAAGTTATTACAAATTATAAAACCTTAAAAATTTTTCAAATTTCTTTTTTAATCGGAATAGTTAAATTGCCGCAACTGTTATCTAAGAATGAGTTAACGACTGTAAAAGTTTCCATTCTGGCCTATTATTTAACGGACTTTTTCAAGTAATTCATTTCACCTTTTAAAGTATTTTCTTAATTCTTCCTAGTAGTGAAATTCATGTATTTTTAGCAATTTTTAAATGTTTATGCAAAGGAAAAACAAGTTGTTTGCAAAACATTTAGTGATGTCTTGCATACTTTCTACAGCTATTTGTCAACTAGGGACGATTTGTTCAATGAAGAGAATTATCAAGAAAGAATCTCGAACTGCTTTGTGGAGGCTCTTCCATGATGGTGCATCATGATATGATGATTAGGCAGATAAAATTTATTTTGCAAGTGGTAGAATTAGCTAGGAGAATTCGACATAGGCGCTTAAGAAGTGCGTAGCCGATCCGGTGTTCATAAATGAGTTATCAGTTTGAGTTTTACCACCGCTGTAAATTGACGGTAAAGAATTGCCTCCATTACACGCACTATTTCAACAACTTTCTTTAGGCCTTTCGCTCTGCAAAGCTGCCTAAGATCTTTATTCAAGTAATACACATGCAACCTGACTAAAGTATCGTGTCTGTGGATAGGGTGCTCTTGTAACTGTTTTATCATATATTGGGAAATGATGTAAAGGCACGTTTCCTTACGGCATTCAATGTACCAGCGCAGAATTGTATCAGTGATTATGGCCAAAACGCAAGGATGTTCTCTTTGTGATCTAGGTTACAAATACTGTTTACTTTCATGTTAGGAATCATACCGATATGTTGACTGTAGCAATCAATACAGCATTTTTAGAATCATATTTTACCATGAAATGGCATTTTGGTATTACTTTTGTTTTATTATATTTTACGACAATATACTGTACACTACGTAAACAATATAAAACACTATATATTATAAAATCAGTCGATTGCTATGTGTTGTATCATCTATATTACATATTATCATTACTGTCGTGTGGAGCGTTCTCAGTACTTGAGTAGGGTGCGCCTAAACCATACAAATGTCCACCGTAAACAGACTCATCAATGTCATTTTCAAAAAAAATCTGTAAATAAAACAATGAACATGAATTGGACTTTGGTATTTTTAATAACGATATACAAATACCGAATTACAAGCTCATTTTACTGGAGAACTCAATTATTAAAGGCTGTCGACTCTAGTATTTATTTCCTGGGTACAGTATATTACAAAGACATTTACTCGATTAGTTAGTACAGCAATAGTAAGCAATACTATGTACCATCGATTGACGCCATTTACTCCTACAGTACTCCTGATTTAGCATAACGTCCACAGATTGATGATTTACTAGTTACTTATACTGACTCGCAGAGACGATACGCTATGCTCCCTAGGCAATTCATATTTGATTAAACAGCCAATAAAGGTGTTCTACTAAATTCGTTATTCGAATAAGTAAGTAACTATCATAAACTTACCATCTTCATTTTAAAGAAGGTATCGCCAGTAAGCATACTGTCACTTCCAGCTTGATGCTGTGGTCCAACGCGGTCCACCTATAGTTATTTTATGTTCATAGTTATACGTACATAGTAACAGAGAGAAAAAGCATATAAAATATCTTATGATTTTATAAGTACTGTATTTTGCGTTATCTAATGTAAGTTATTGTCATGAACAATTTTCATCAATGTACTACAAGTAAAAGCAATTGATTACTAACTTGTAAGGCATCCGCGACCTCTTGTAGTCCGCCCTTCAAAGTTTTACAACTTTTCATAAGATATTTAATGTCGTAAATTGAGGGAAAATATACATGTAGTAGATCAAAAAATTCTGATTCCCCATTTGGTAAATCCGTGCAAGTCAGCAACCTCATCATATAAGCAAAGTCATAACCGCTAATGAATTAGAAATGGCATCGTTAAAAAGGCAAAGTATGCAAATAAACAAACTTATTGACATGTAATGCAGCATAATAGTGTCAGTTGGATAAGTGATAGTTAATGTAACATCCTATTTGATATCAACGCTAATATCTACTCAAATCAGCTATCGGGCAGTTAGCAAACCTGTGAAAGGATAGCCAGGTAACATTGTCAGTAAGAACAATACCGGAAGTTATAAACAGTTCAGCAAAGTGATTAGGGTCGATTCCATCCTCTTCGTGGCGTTTGAATTGAATGCCAGATCGCTGCAGTAGCTCAATGGAGTCCTGTGCAGACATGTGTTCGCTATTGCAAGAAGATGAATGTTTATTAATTGATGTAATCGAGTAGAGGATATCGACGTTTATAGTTATCATAGTTGATCATAAACTTACGAAAGACTGAACTTGAAATTGAATTGCCATGTAGAAATACCATGAGGTTTTTCACCACGTTCGTTCATAAAAGTCAAGCCAATTTGTATTATTCGTAGTATATCGACGTTACATTTCAATAAATTATATAAATAATCAGTTGGACTTTTAAAATCGCCAATGGGGCGAGCAACAACACCGGGAAATTCGGTATCCTGTATTAAGAATATGAGATACCTTTAAGATTAGATAAATATAAGCTAATGGATTTTAATTTGATTAACGTATATAGGGTAAGAGCATGTAAAGAATATCGCCTTTAGGACAGACTATCGCAGAAACGATTCTTATTTTTACTTTCATATGGTAAGATCTGCAGTACTAAATTATAATTATACGTAAACCAAGCATGACGTAATGTGCAGGTAGAGTCGGATAAGAGAATATTGAAAATGGTAAAATTGTATCGTTCGTATTAGTTACTTCGATAACAGAAAAATGGTTGCTTTGCAAAACTTACCATTCCTATGAAAGGAAAATCCTCCACAATATCACGAATTTTGTCAAATTCCTCCTCTAAGTTACTCTCCCAAATATCTTGGATACCATACTTGCTGGTTGTAGGCGCAGGCATATTATTGAAATGCCTCTGCATTGATATACGTGTAATAAAGCCAAGTTAGATTCAACTGAATCAGTTAGTATCTTTGTTATTATGATTTATGGTAGACTACTATTAATCTTTCTATATTGATAATATTTTAGGCTATTGGCTGTAATAAGAACTTTTTATGATGCATAGCGTGCTATCTATGTTAACAAGTGCAACAAAGTTGGTGCGAAAATAGGTTATCGATCTTTTAGCAGGCAATTCTATTAAAGCACGTCCTTTCCTGAAAAGGCCTTGAATGTATACATATATATATATATACTGTACTATACGCATCTAATATATAAAAACTCTGTAAATAGTCTAAAAGCCGACAATTTCCCGCTATTCAATTGGCTCTATAGTACATGATTATACAACCATGAACTCCTAAAAAAGACCTCATCGATGATGGTTACTCACTTTCATATTAGGCTATTGTCACGCAACCGCTTTGATGCTTAAATCGTCAATTGCAAAAAATGATCTATCGATGCTAATTGGAGACTGGTTTTTCAGCCAAAAAACGAATAGTAAGTTAGAAAGAAAGGACTAGACAATACTTTATAAACTGCTTTCTATAATAATTGATTTATGATGGGTTTCCCTATATCGAAAAGCATTTTTGATTCCCAAAGAAAACGTGCCAATCGTATCACTGGCCTATTGATTCGACTATAAACTAACGCTATCCTCAGTGCTTACATTCTCGTAGCCTGGATAATGCAATGTTAAATCCACTTTCTTGGCTTGACTTAATAATCCACTTTAAATTGAAAATATTTCACAGTAATCGACGCTGTCACTGGCTTGACTGATCCACAGCAAGAACTTAATGGCGGCCAAGGACTATCGTTGAAAGCGCTTACTACGCTTCTCTAGTGAGCAAGCGCAAACAACGTCGCTTCAGCTCGACTCACACGCAGGCGGAGTCGAGTGTGGTACAGGTCAAGTTTCACTACGTGGTCTATGAAGTTGAATCACAGTGGAAAACGTGATCCAGTACTATCGTGTTCACTCAGTACGGTACAGTACAGATTACTGCGAGTGAGTGCCAAGCGTCATACCATCATTGTTGTGCGTAGCGCACGGGTAGCTTCATCTACATCTGTACCGTACGTACACTGAGTCATAGACTACTCGAAGAAATACCAAGACCTACAACTCCTATGGATGGACAGACATCTGGCCTCCTTTGGTCAATCCATTGTGTCCAACATATAGGCAAGGTACGTTACGGTCCGACACGGTGCGCTGCGGTTCGATACCGTACTGTAATAATAATATTTATTTACTTATTCCGACGTTTCCAAACTTATAAATTGCAGCTTAACCAACTCCTATGGATGGACAGACATCTGGCCTACTCTGGTCAATCCATTGTGTCCAACATATCGGTACGGTACGTTACGGTTCAACGCGGTACGCTGCGATTCCATACGGTACTATACTATTTATTTATTCCGACGTTTCCAAACTTCCAGTATAAATGGCAGCTTAACCAACTCCTATGGATGGACAGACATCTGGCCTACTCTGGTCAATCCATTGTGTCAAACATATAGGCACGGTCCGTTACGGTCCGATACGGTCCGATACGGTACTGTAATAATATGTATTCCGTTATTGACGACGTTTCCTAACTTCTAAATTACAGCTATACCGAACCTACAGTACACAGTACAGCAGCAATGTAGGGTAGTAGTGACTAGCACAGTAAGGACATTAGGGCCTGTTAAGATGAAAGATCAAACTCAACTCCATTTTTGACCTATGTAAAAACTCTTTTTTTAGTATCAAATGAGAAACGAGGGCAAATATAATTTACTGCGTATTGAAAATCTCGATTATTATAGTAAATACTATATGCAGAATGAGACCGCAAGTGATTTCAGCCCCAATTTCTGCTGACTCCACGACTGTAGCCTGCTGTACATTACACTCAGTCTCCACTAAATAACAGTAATACACCAACTGCAAAAGTCACTAGCGTACTTTATTCAATATCTGGAAATAAATCAAGAATACTTCATCAGGCAAATTGTAGCATAGTCGACTATACTGCAGTATTGTAGGTATACTAGGGCCTGTCAAGATGAAAGACCAAACTCAACTTCAATTTTTGCATATATAAAAATGCAAAAATTGTCAAATGGGAGATAAGCGCAAATAACACTGTACTGCGCATTGAAAATCTCGCCACTTTCAATCAATATGATGAATGAGACCAAGACTGATTTCGGCCCAAATTTCTCGATACTCCACTACTCTGCTGTACAATTTGTAGAAAAAAAATATTTGATGATGTTACCCCTATCTACTCAGTGGACGACGTAATCCCATACATTCGATATTACAGTTTTTGCATTAATTTGTACAACATTGATCGCAAATACATAATTTGAATATCATACGTATCAACAGGTAACTTTCTAAAATAAGAGACCTATGTGTATAGGAACTTCATTCAAAACGATGAGTCTTTTTTAAGCGTTTTACTGAGAGTTGTTACTCTTCAAACATATCGAAGAAAATGAAGCATATTGCAGAGTAATACAGCAACTGCAAAACTTTCTACCGTACTCTATTCAATAGTGGGAAATAAAGGATAATTAGGGAAATTGTAGCGTAGCAGTACTCTTGCTACCATAAGGGCCCTATCAAGATGAAAGACCAAACTCAACTAAAAAAAATATTTGCCATCTATAAAATCTCTTTTGATTGTCATAGGAGAAACGAGGGCAATTATACTGTATTGCGTATTGAAAATCTGCACAATTTCAATAAATAGGCAGAATTACAAGACCGAGACTGGTTTCAACAAAAATTTCTCCATGCTCTGCTACTGTACTCTACTGGAGTACAGTACTACAATAACAGCAAAAATATTTGCCAGCATGTCCTCTAGTCAATAGCGGAAAATTATGTAGGACAGCAGCCTACTGCAGACACGCATCTATTTTCACTCAAGCACAGCTACAGTCGACCTGATTTCAATTGGATACAATTATGAACTAGTAGCAAATCGCGGCCTACTATCTATAGGATACAGATTTCCAGCCCTTTTTCCTTTAATTCAAGTGGTGGTCCAAGGATCATGTGCGGCATGACCTACGATATGAATGAGTCAGGATATGCCAAACTGCTGCATTAGTAAATATCGGATTATCTCGATATAGCAAAGCTAAGTATGGCAGACCAAAATTGGAATTCGAAATGCGAAAGGAACCTTTACGACAAGGAGGATATCCAATTTCAGGTCGATTTCAGTTCAAACATATATCTTATAATAAAGACAACGATACATAGTTATTAGCCTAATATTTTTACCGTATTTCAGGTCGTTTCCGAATTTTAAAGATGGAATAAGAAATGTTGAAATTGGCAATTTACGACAGTAATCCTAGTCATAAACGATAGATTGTTGCATCATGTTTTATCATTTTTTTAGTACCCTAACCTTTCCAGTATAAGTTTTGTGATATGAATGTTAGTAGACGAGTTGCTGTTCTAAACTCAGTTTCTCAAAGTGATTCGTCTAGGCAATGATTTATTATGGCCTTTCATTGCAACAGGAAGCACAAATAGAAACGATAATTATTTTCTTCATTATACATTTATAGTACTACTGTACATATATACAGCGTATATAAAAGATTGATGATTTTTATCTTTCACGGTTAGTTGAATCTGCAATCTCTTCTAGGTATCAATAAAAGCGCTTAACGGAAGCTACGGTAATTCTACGCTAGTAATGCAGTATCAAGCTCCCTTGTTACTGCCGGGAAATACTACAATATTAATAAGCGATACTAGACTGGTCATTGCGTCAAGATGAAGAAATAGATGTAAAACATGACTAAAGTTTATTCTGTAGATTATCTGGAAAGCAAACATGGCAACAAGGTGTAATACTTTCATTCGCATTATAGCTTAAATCCTGTCCATTCTAACTTATTCTATAATAAAGTTTGCTCGTTTTTCTACGATAGCGCCGATTAAGATGATCAATAAACGAATGGCTACTTTCACCCTACTATATTTTGACTTTAGCAAGTTTATCAACAGAAATTCGTTTTAGGTGTCATGCAGTGATATGAAAATGAGTTATAGATTACTAAACAAGATAAGGATAGGTTGAAAGAGCGTAATAATGCACGTCTTGGATGTTTTATGCCTTCCAGCGATATACCAATTTTAATCTTTCATTTTACTTTACAAATTGAAGGATGTTTCAACTCGCTAATTTATGGAGAACAAATTCGATATGTTATTTTCGCCTTAGATATTGCCGCAACTAAATTAAGCCATCTTCTCGAATGGTTGAAAGGTGTTGTTGATGAGCATTCTGCCATAGATTGTTTATATTTGGTCATATCCAACTTAAACACTTCCATTTGCATCAAAATATATCTTTGGAATAGTTTATTGACGGGGATGAAACCTCTTCTATATACGGTAGTACGAGATCTTGTAACTCGGAAGCTGATAAATAATCTATTGCGTGTCAAGACTGAATTGGACGATATAAAGAGGAGATTCTTCGATTAAAATAGTTAATTAACATTTTCACTTCACTATAGACACAAGACTGGCCATTTTCTATCAGTATTGAATCATCTTGACAACAATTTCGGTATGTTGAACAGTACTTTTCTTAATCTGTATTCACTAAAATATTCCAGTTTATGAGTTTCGTCAATAAAATTGCAAGTCATTTAAGAAAGAATGTCAGTTTTCAATAGAGTTTAAAATTTTATTTTATAATCATAGGGAATCGAAACATTTCTTCTAGGGTAACAGTCATCGCCGAGATAAAATGAATTCTCCAACGCAATGCTCACCGCAACCTTCAGGATTAGAAACGAACCGTGTTGAAGATGGAAAAGTTGAGGAAGAATGTCAACATAATCGTACTCAATTTCCCGATGTTAGTGAATGTCGAGTATCTAGTAGTGCTGGTGTTGAATCGGACGATGGAAATCGGAAGGAATTCAACAAATCGACGCAATTTCATCAATCTTCTTCTCAAGCTCATTATGGCAGTCACACTGACAAGACAGAAAGTACAGCTCAATCACCTTTGGCCGACATAAAGGATCATTCTAGTTATAGCCTTTCTCATAGCAGTGATGACAGAAAGGAAACCACTAGCGAGAAAGAAAATAGAGTTGAAACACCTACGGCTAATATTAAGGCTCATTCTAGTCATAATTATAGCACCGATGATAGTAAAGAAGCAATTAGCAAGGAAGAAGATAGAATTCAAACACCTATGGCTAATACGAAGGATCATTCTAGTCATGATGGTAGTGCTATTGGCAATAAGGAGGCTTCTAGCGAGGAAGAAGATAGAGTTCAAACAACAATGGCTAGTATTGAGGCTCATTCTAGTCCTTATGATAGCAGAAGTGATAATAAGAAAAATTCTAGCGAGGAAGAAAATAGAGTCCAAACTCCTATAAGTAATATTAGGGGTTATTCTAGTTATCATGATAGCAGCAATCAAAATAAGGAAGCTGAAGCTTTTGATATTTCCTCGGTTGAAAAAAGCGACGACGGCGTATCCACTATTGGAACAGTTACTAGCAGCACATGTGATGACGCTGATTATGATGTAATTGGATCAGATATTCAAACAGCTACTAAACAAAATTCTCAAGACATTCAATTGAAGAGCGAAATTTCAGATGATTATGCATCAGAAGCCAGCGATCCAAGTAAAAAAATGATTACGAAAGATAATGATTTAAAAAAGGTAAGTTGATTAATCGGATAAGATTAATTGATCGAAGAGGGCATCGAGTATTTTAAATATTCTTATTTACTCTTTGTAAATAGCGCACTTGTAGGTAATCGTGTTAAATGTACATTAAAAACTTTCGATTAATTATAATGCAAGCATATCGTACCGTTTTTTGAACCTTAATATTTAATAATTTAGATTTCTAGAAAGAAACATCAATCTAATAAGAGTATTGTCAACGCTAAGAAGAGAAAATGGCCTTATGACGATAATGGCAATGAGGGAAGTAAGCGAGCAAAAGTGGATGAAAGCACAGGTATGAAGAAAAATAAGAAAAAATCATCTACTTTCGTGTTTGAAGACAAGAAGAAACCTATCATCTCCCTACCTTCAATACCAATTGATTATTTATTAATTGCTGGCGCGAAAGATGACATGCCATTAAAATTGATACAAGGTATAGCTCGAGGTGATGCAATTAAACCTAAAAATCGATATTATCGTATTAATATTGAAGGCCAATCACTCGGTCGTGTACCAACCAGCACTCAATTTAAGAATATGATGATTATGATGGGTAGTTTGCGCGAAATAGAGAATCCAAGCACTTTAATAGCAGCAATTGAATTTGGATTTTGCTACATCAATCGAAATGATGTAGTGAGAAAAAATTTATCACATTCAGAAGTTATAACAGCTGCCAATTTTCTATCTTGTGTTAATGGCCTTCAGTATCCATCACGTGGCAAAAGTCAAGCTCCTAATCCAAATCGGCGTTCAATTGATTTTTTGTTTAGTCCTTCATTTCATCCGCATTTTGGTCATCAAATATTTAATCAAATTATACGCAAGCGTAATTTACTAGATATGGAATCTGATCAATTTGCTGAATCGACTGATGAATACTTAACATTTGAAGTAATGATAAATAATGATTCACGTAATGTTTATATATTTAAGCAGCAACAGCAATCAGACTCGAACGATGGTAAAGACCTCAGTAATGATCATGCAATTATCGAAGAGCGTCCAGTGAATAGCTGGTTGGCAATTCATTTGGCTCGAGGTAGTAGTGCTGATTTCGATATCAAATACCATATTTTCAACATTAAGCGTAGCGCATGTCATATTGATTGCCCACTAGTCATTAATCAGTTGGGCCAAATTAATGAGCCGATCAAAATTAAAAAAAAATTTCGGAAATTAGTTACCAATGTCAAAAAAGTAAACACTGCATATTATCAAAGCTCAATTAAAACCTGTAGTAAAACCGGCGCAAGCAGTAAATTTTGGGATACTGCTATTTTGACGGTACAAGAAATAACTGATTATGAAGATTATAATGTTAAAAAGGGAACATTCAGACATGAAAAAATGACGGTGAAAGGAAAATTGGAGTTAGATGTTGAAGATTGGTTTATTTGTAATGATGAAGGCCTATTAACTAATGCTGCCAAAGAATTTTATAAATTAGGCATTGAAGCTGCTAACGTGTGCAAGTTAAATAAGAATGACAAAGGACGTAAAGCCAAGACGTGTTGATGATGTATAAATGTAAAAGTATATTAACAGTTATTGCTTTCAATTCGTTGAAGAAAATATAGGCAGTAATTTATAATTCTTCTGAAATGATAGCTTATACTTATCATTATTATAAAGGAACAGTGTAGCCTATTGCTATTCTAAATAAATTTCATTACTGGCGTTAGCTTTGGCAATTTGTGAATTGAGACTACTATGCAAACCAAATTGAGATAGTGCCTAAATTTTACAATATCAGACAGTAATAAAAATGTTGCATCTTGTTATTTAATAGCGGCTTTAGTAAAAACTGATCAATATCAGTCATGGTGACTTTTTTCTGCTAGCACGTTTATCTCTACATGTTCATTACTTTGTTTATTTGATAAAACTTTATCCTTTATAATAAAAATATGTTAATTAACCTATTGAATTCACAGTATTTGCTAAAAGAGTGGAAATAAAATTTAATACACTAGTAAATATGTGTACTACTTTATCCAACTTATTCGATAGCCTTTATCAAGCTATAATAGCATTCAGAGGTACTGGTACTTACATACAATTATTGAACACGTATAAATTATTAGCTAAATGCATTTCAATTCTAACTGTACTTATAGTAACTTTAGGCTCCTTTTCTTGTAATTCAGCTGACAAACAAGTCCTACTTTGAGTATATACGGTTTGTAGATTAATTTCAGTTACAGTTTTTACCTTAGTGGGTACTGAATTGTGTGAGTTTAATGAATGGTAGGTTATAACAGCACTTTACATAGCGATTATTATCGTAATTAATGTAGAATATTTAGATTTATGAGAGGTCTAGCATTGATTAACGATCGCTGTGGTGTTGTTAAGAAAATTTTCGGTCGAATGCAACCAAACATCTGATGATATATGGCATTTATCATCAAGAATACTGATAATCATATTACAATTATGCTAGTTACAATAGCAATTAAGAATTTTTTGAAGATTGACTCTAATACAAATTTATTAGTCTAAATGAAGGCACATATAAAATCGAATGTTGCTATACATTTGTTCGTATTTACGTTAGCCACATGAGGTTTGTAAATCTTCAGTCATCAAACATCATTTCTTGTATATACTTTCCATTTAGTAAATAAAATTCACAAATATCATTATCCTTATCCCTTTGATATCGATGATCTGTATGCCAGGGTGCATGTCAACTCTATTGACACATTATGACACTCAATGTCGTAATAAAATATAAACTGCATTTGGATGATGTTTATAAAATCGAGCTTTTAAAACAGATGCAAGTTTTACTGCCTGAAATTGTTATTTCTTCATAGCATTGTTGCTTAAAATTTGAAAATCTATACAATAACAATTTCGTAATATTGTTTACATATAGTTTCAATATAATGTAGCAAAATGTCATAATAAAAATGTTATGATTATATCATAACAATAAATACCGGATATATTCATTTACTCAACTCAATTATCTCTGACCAATAGAGTAATATGAACAAGATATGACATCAAAAGTATACAAATAGTTATATTAACCGTGTTCACAAGTTAAATTTTTGGAATTTGTATATTAACTTTGGTACTAATAGTCGCTGCCGTACTAGAATTTGCGTCCCTAGCATTCACTTTGAATTTGTTGGTACTTTTGCTAACGCATCCGAAATTGCTTTACTGTAAGTAACAAACGGTGTCGATTTAGTACCCAATAGTTAGTTATGGTTATTTAGCAACATTCCTACATGTATACAGCATAATTACCGAAAAACATGAAGCTTAGTTAAGAAGGCATCAACATGGCCACATCCAACTAAATAACGGATTTCACAACCTTGTAATAAAGATAAAATACGTACGCTCGCACAGTATAATTATTTAGGCACGTTCTACTGGATGATCGGAAATATCTTGGATACAAATATTAAATACTAACCTGGCCATATATCTTCAAGACTAGTGGCGTTATTTCTTGGAATATAAGCATCTTTTTCGGCAACTACAGCTATTATGCTGGATGTATCAACCGGGCACGGATACTGTTGCAAATGCGTTACTTCATCAAAGACGTACTTTGTAATTTCGATAATATGTTGTCTATCACGGTCAGTTTGCGAAGATCTTTTTAATATATTTCTTCCTTTGGAAAGCCAGTTTTGTTTTTCAGTAGTAGTAAACTCCTTAGGTTGAATTAAGGTTGACTTGATATCATCAGCAGTAGCTCTATAGGTAACGTCATCGATAGCTTCGTCAAAACAATTAACAATTGATGAATCTAAATAATGCGGGTAACATTCGCCAGGATCAAATTCACTAATAAACTGAATTTTTGAATCTCCCAGGCTATTATTGATTGGAAAGTTAAAGGGGAAGTTGGCTCGCCGTTCCTAATATTGGTTTTGCATCGAATCAATTATTGCATATTATACCCTAATTCCAAAACATCTGTGCCAATCTTATAAGAATATATTGTAAGCAATTACGTACATGAATTTTATTCAAATCTGAATAAAGAGATGATTCTTCAGATGCGGATCTAGATTCATTATATTGCTTTTCCAGCAATTTCCAGTTACAGGATCTCGTCATCACACCCTAGTGGCAATAAAATTATTCAACTTCAGTTAGATGGTTACCGTACAAAGACGCAATCCGTCAATTATTGGAAAGATCATTTTTAAAAATAAATTTGTTCCATTGAAACTAGGTCTTAACTACCTCAGTAAATGCTATCGAGGCTGTGCTCCACGATAAACAAGGTACTACAGCTACAGACTCGGGCCACGCAGTAGCAGCTAAAGAAGCCATCTGACAGCATTATTTCGATATAAGATTCATATTTTAAGTCATACTATAATTGCAATTGACGTTATCATAATAGCATAGTGTATCACCAATAAGAAGAGCTTGAAATTTTAAATAAAACATATAAATTACTATTTACATGTCCTCCCATGGATATTCCATGAAGACAAAGTGGCCCAAAACCCATATTTTGACACCAGTGTAGCAAAACAGATGATTCCAATACCAAAGCAATTCCCATTAGGAATAAGTCCGCAACGTACTTTAAGCTTGACCGTCTAGATATTGACACAAAGAAAGTGCATACATATAATCGTATAGAAAATGTTACTATCATTGAAAGTAATAGTTAATAACCAATACTTTTGGTTAATTTTACAATTTATGATTGATTTGGAATGTAATATCTTATCGGCCTCAATTATATGCACTACATTTTAAGATGTGCTTCGACTATTGTTCGTTTAAGCTACTGCGCTTACCGTTGTTCTTTCGGCTTTCTGACTCCGTCTGTATTAATCAAAGTTAAGGTCATCTTATTATATATAATTATATATGCTGAATAAAAATATTTAATCGAAAGTTATGGTGCAAGAATGACCGCAAACTGATGGTTTATGTCTCTTTACAGACATACATTACATACACATATACATGCTATTCAGAGAGTGTAAAATGGTGTTAGGTTTTATGATAGCATTTCTTGCGATTTATCTTAACACAATAACAGATGAATCAATTTGAGTAGTCTGGATACAGTAAGGGTTTTCTAGCAGTATTGAGCCTATACCATATTCTTTAAGTAAAGGGATAGCCATTAGGTGACGACGACGCCAGAAAAACTGTTTGCAACATAAATCATCAAATCAAATCACTGTTCACTTGAAAATATTTTTAACCTAATATTGCTTAATGAGATATTACTATTACTTAATTACTAGCGTAATGATAATTTACGAGTGTTATGTTCGTATGTTGTAGACCTCTACGATAATTATGCACATTATATAGTACTGTATATGGACGAAAGTTGGATGTACTAACATGATCTCCAGTTCCTGCCAAGTGTATACACATAGGTTTCTTATCGGTGTTCCAATTTTTTGGTAACACAACTTCAAACCTGCAAGTGAGAGAAAAATTTTAAATTTTACTCTTTAAGCATTTCTTTGAAGCTATTATACAGCTTATTAAATCATAAATAAATTAGCTAAAATGAGATCATACCGAGCAGTTTTAATTTCTTCTAACATGGATGGGCCAAAGAATTCAACAATTGGAGATGTAAAATGTCCTTGCAGCACTTCATACGAATTATTTTTGATCCTCTATGACCAATAATTATACCAGCTCAATTTTAGTATACGAAGGTAAAGTAGATCACATCGAAAATTTCTTAAGGTATTTCAGGGATACAATATTAAATCTTTCTCATTAGTTATATCGATGTAAAAGCAATTACTTCATACTGTGTCGATAACTGCTCAATATTCAATTGGCATCATTATATTAATTTTCAGCACTTTACTGTTAGACAACTTACTGTACATGTTAACAATTTATGATAGATATCTATCGAAACAAAGTTAAGGTAAATATACCCAATTATGCGCTTAAAGATTGCAGGTACGTCAGATATAATCGTAATGAAACTGCATCAAATCAAACGATTAAGCTAACTAGCAGGGTTACAACGTTAGTTAATAAGCATTTAGCAGTAATAATCTAATTACCTTATCTATAGTTACTGGATGATTTGGTGATACCAATTTGCGCCACTTGCTTGCGTCTACCGTAGCATCATTGCGAAAGGAAACAATCCTGCAATATGTTGTTGATTAAAGTAATTAGAAAAGAAATAGATTTTAAAGAAAACATCGCCTTGCTCTATTCTTATTTATTAATTGCTCGTGTAGGGCATTCCACATATTATAATTTAGTTCACCAGGTACAAGATAGCAAACGGTTCCACTAATTTATTAATGCTGGACAGCAAATAATGCACGGAGCTGAAACGAAAACTATAGGGATTATACGGCACTGCACGCCTTAACTATACTATGCAGACAGTCTATTACTCTCCTAACAAACTCGTCTAATGCCCCACTAGCTTGAGTAAATATTCAATCTGTCATGTAGACATTAATATCTATTTATGGTATATCGATCTGGTAACGCAGTAAAGGTGCTAGAATAGGGAAATCCCAATCAACATTAAGGTGTGTACGCCTAACACGGTAGCAATGTTAGTTCTATCATGATAGAACCTGTTGAGTAACATGATACCTTTCTTGACTGCCAGCATTGTACAAAATTTTTGACCATCCCATTACAGAATCAGTTGTATAGCATACTCTTGTACTACAAGTAACTCCATGCAAAGATGGCAGCACATCTATACTGCTTCATAGTAGCAGAAAAGCAGGCTTCTATCATTTACTCCCATCTACACATCACGAATAGCATTGAAATCAGATCAAATCTATCAAAGCAAAAGTACTGTACACATGATAACGGTACTGTTGCAAGTACGAATCGCATCGAGCTGGGTTTGCTCGTATAATCTAAAGGCAAGATTTCTATGCTATACTGAATAGTAGTAAATTATTGATCCAAGTTATGATTGCAAATAGAAGCAGAATTGAAAGGTTTCCAAAGCTCACTCAGGAAATAAACGTTATACTATTCATTTATACCTTCGCAATAAGTCTACATCGCCCCATCCAGAAGTAAAGTACTTGGCAATAATGATCCGACGATATAACTGATCAAATTTGGATGCAGTTGTCATGATGAGGAGATTCTAGTCAAGGATGCAGTCCACGTCTACTATTGAATCCGCTGGCTGACTTGACAATTTGATTAATCCTAGAGGGAGATTTCTCAATTTAGCTTAGTTTCCAATGTACTTTTCTACTCGATTAGACTCTGCAAGATGACTGGATTTCAGCTAAGGCAACAGCTGGGAAAACGAGGTCCCAACCAGGCCAGCAAAGAATCGGCCCAAAAGGCCTTGGACTTTCAATGCTTATAGTCGCCATAGTTGCTACTGTATTGCGCGCGGTCAGGAGCTACTGGACACTAAGTTATTATGAAAAATGGATTAGTCTCGGTTAGCAAGGGTTATTACTCACTTTGTGGGTTGGGTGGAGGCATGCGCCATACAGTACGGTCTTCTAGAGCACTTTAACGCATGCGTCGATTTCGATTGGGTAAAATGGTGGCCAGCAGGTTGGCTGGCGATGGAGGCTGAAAGTGCTTCAAAGTATACAGGCCTACGAGATATTTCCTGATAATTATAATGTAGATACTCGTATATTACATCCAATTTATCAAGTATAGAAATTAATGTTGGTAAACATTAGCCTATAGCCTATTACGAATTAATATACGCTAGAATGTTCCCCGTGGCGCATAATTAGATATGGAATGATTCTTCGATATGAAATGTAAAATAGCAAATCGATAAACAGAACTGCAATAGTTCATTGCTGTAGAATGGTTTCGCTATAATCATCTTGATATTGAATCTGACAGAAATATCAATTGAATGGGGAAGTCAGTGCCGTAAAGATGATCTAATCGCAACGGTACACTATTGGCCTTGTTTGCGCTTTTTATGCCCTTAGATAACGAAAAATTCAGTCATAAGAGTACAAGGTTTATAGCACCAATGGGAAATGTTTCGCTACGTACATGAATTTAACAGATAGATAAGCAGAACCACTATATATAATCATAATTTCTCGGAGAATTTGTTCGCTATAAATTTGATATTTAGTTCTGACTAAATTTCAATTTGACGCTACTTTTATCTAATATGAGCTTTGAAGTTGCTTTATGCGCGTAAATGAATCATATACGTATAAAGGCATGTGCAACCACTGGCATTGGAATTTGATCATACAGAATTCACGGATCGATGTAAAATATTTACTGCAAATTAAAGGGTGTACTAAGGATCTTTCCCTTTATCGTCTTCGTACTTGATCCAAGCCTTATTCCATCTGCTGACATGGAAAGAATATAATCACAAGCGGAAACCAAAATAGATGAAAGTTTTTCAATAATGCAATAACGAAGCTTATAGCCAATTAGGCCCTAATACGTGTTTCTACAATTTTATTGGTATATACTGTAGCTTGCTACTGCAAATAAAAGCTTTTAAAATATACAGTAAGAGGCAATATAGAATTGTATTAAATGCTATAGTTCGTAATATCTCTTATTATAATTATCATCTTCAAAAATGACTATACATCAAAACCGATACTTGTATTTCACAAATTATAGCGTTGCTGCTTAGAATCAGTTTTACTACAAAAGCGTAGTCTACGTATATAAGACGGCTGTAGTGTAAACGCTCTTCGTTAATGACCCTTATTCTTCCTATTGATCGCAAAGTCAAAGTAATAATTATTATTATGATTTGTGTTATTAAATTACAATCGTTATACCCGTATGATGCTTTAAGAATAGTAGTAAGATAGACAGCTTACTTTTTGCCAGTCTTTGGTCTTGATTTATTTGCAGCTTTACGAACTGGTTCTTGCAACGCTTGCGAGTTATAGGATAGGTAGACTTTGGATAAATCAATTTCAAGCTATTATAAATTATTAAATAATAGGATACTGTTAAATTGTTCCGCATATTACCTTTAAACACATTTTTAATACATCATTTCCATAACACAGTATAATTAATGACTTCATACTATCAGCTAACATAATCAATAGAACGTAAAAATTATCTACATACCTCAGCTGGTACATTTTTATCAGGTGATGGAGTCCTTTTTCTCATATTATTCCCTGTATAGGCAACACTTCGCTAAAATATTGTAATCATAATAGGTAGCAATTAGCTGAATGTTTGCGTAAACTTAAGATTCTAGTGTCGTTTGTTAATCAATTAGAGGTTTAAAAATATTGCATTGTGAGTATATGAAAGTTCTTTTCATAGGATAGGCTCATATATCATTATGCAAGTTAAGGTAAGGCAAAATACGAGCACAATATTCTAAAGTAAAGTATTAAAACAGTTATGTGAGATAAGTAAGTTTAAAGTTTACTCAAGATAACTATTATAGACTGCTATTATATACGAATAAATACATGCTAAACGAATTAAAATCAGCTGTACGTCTTGAAGATGATTTCCAGTAGCACACAATGTCAGAGTACAAACATAACTAATAATCTCGTACGGACGGTAGCACATTAGGCACAAGTCTGAGCAGATTTAGGCTATTAGTAATCTTATTAGAGACCGATACCTCTGATAATAAATAAACTAAGCTGAAGAAGGCTTTAACAATCTCAAAGTTTTAAAAAATATCTACGTTAGCTATTCTCTATCGGCGATAGTTACAACTAGTATTATGTATCTAAAGTCAAGTGTGAATTTATCTGTAAAAATTCTTACCAGTTGCCAATCTCCCATCTCTTCGCTCCATGCCATATTGGATTCGATTAGAGTCTAAACATAGGAATTAACGGTTATGTTACATGCTATTTAATACAGATTACATTTTATCTATATTTTACAGTTAATATATTACAGCCTTACAAGACATTAGAATGCCTTACCTGGCAATCGATTGGTATAAAGTTATCAATTAATACGCTTTGCATTTGAATGTCACGCGTTAACTGTTTAATATTTAGCATCATATCTTCTAATTCTCTTTCATGTTCTTCACGAAGATCTTGTAGCTTTTAGAATCAAATATAATTAAATTCATTATTCTGAAGTTAACATAAGATAAGTTTAAAAATATCTGGATTGGATTTGCTTGTATATTTGAAAATGGTAAAATTATACCAGGCATAGCAAAATCAAACTTTTATGTCTTTAGTGTCTCTACCTCGGCTTTAGCTGAATCGTAAGATTTCTGTAATTTTTTCAATTTTTTAACTACACCTGCGGCTCCCTCTTGTAAATTGCTATATTTTTCATCTAGATTTTCGTATTCAGCCTATTAATTTATAATTGGTAGGATAATTTATTTAAATCTGCCATTGATTTTAAAGAAATTGCAATGTAATTTGCCCTACTTCAGCTCGTTGAATCTTTTCCTCTAGCAATTTTTGCTGTTGTTGACGATCAGCTAATTCTTTGGCTGATTCTTCCAATAACTGTTCTTGTTCTTCAGCTTTTTCAAGCTAAGTATGGTAAATACAATATTTCAGAATTTAATAGTCTGCTTGTAAATGATCCATCAACCACGATATTAAAAGCCTTCATAACATAAAGTTAAATAAATCGATAATCATTATTACCAGATTTACGCCACCGACAATAACTTTCTTTTCCATTGATCGAAGTTTTTCTGTTAACGCTTCATGCTCTTTCCTAGTTGTCGACAGATATTGAATAATAGTTTTAAACGATCGTACATATTTATAAATATAATGAAGATTTAATTAACAAATATATGTCAGAAGTATTGTCCAAAGTAACATACTGAGCATCTTCAATTGCTTTTTGGCGTTCCTCTAGCTGATTCGTTACAGCTTGTCTTTCTGTTTCTGCCATATTTGTTTTTTCTTTTAGAGCTGCTTTCTCTTCTTCAATTTGCTTCATCATAATTTCTCGCTTGCCAGGAGATATTGGTCTCTTCCCTACACAATAAAGGAATATTTATTAACGTATAATACATTTGTTAAAAGGAATAGCAGAGAGCAAGATCCAGTAAAAATAGATCAACTCTTATGTGCTTATACTATAAAGAAATGAGGGGATAATTAGTTTAACCTTTTTTCTTTCGTCTTCGACGAGGTTTAGGTTTACCGTCTTCTCCTATTTCTTCTTCGCCTGAATACTCTGATCCCTCGGAAGACCCTTCCTCATATCCCTCTATCAACACAACAAAATACGCTTGTTGATTAATTAAAAGAATTCATAGTATATGATCATTGCAAGTATTTTATTATAATGTATCGCAAACAAGATGCAAAAATCAAAAAATAAACTCTGATTACCATTTTCTAGTTGTTTCTTTAATTTTTCAATTTCTTGCTGGAATTGTCTCAACATAGCATCTTTAGGATCTTCATTAATTTTAGCATGATTTTTAATATTTTTTGCTCTGTTTGCGTATCTATATAGAAATAGTTGAAAAATTTTAATAAAGATATGATTATTTCGTAGATAGCACTAATAAAACCTGGTTATTATAATGTCATAGCTTACCTTAAAGTGCTTATTGACTCTTCAACGTTATATATCGATGGTCCAACAGTAGCAATCTGAGGAAAAATTTTCATATAGATACATTTTAGTCTTATCTTGTATGACTAATACAATGGCAGCTTATTTACTTTAATCTATCTGTAGCAGATTAAACTGATAGATTAATAAAACAAATCCAGCGTTCATAACTGTAAGTTTAGATTTTCTTATGTTATACGATAAGTGTACTTGATGTTATTTTGTTCTGTAATGATCTATGTTAAACTTACCATAACCGTTTTTGCATTGCCACCTAACGAGTCTTGTAATAAACGTGTTAACTTAGAATTTCGGTATGGGATATGTGTACTTCTCCCGTCAACTAGTGCCGAAATAACATTTCCTAAAGTTGACAAGGATAAATTAATTTTGGTTGCTTCTTTTAGTCGAACTCCAGTTGCTCCAGTTTTAGTCTGTCTTTCAGAACCCTGTAGACGTAAAAGTGCGCTCATAAATTAAAGGCGAGAAAATTAAAGCTGTCTTCATTCTACAAACGTATTTAGGTTATGTAAGTAGGATTTCAGATGGTTTGTAGACGTAAAAGTACGATCATAAATTAAAGACAAGCAAAGAAAGTAGGATTTCAGATGGTTTGTAATTTATTATTACAGTTCAACTTGGATAATTTCACTTTTCAAACTCGTAAACAATAGCGAAAGTTTAAGGCAACAAAAATAATTCCACAATGGGTAAGATGTAAACAAGCATTAGTGAAATAAGATTAAATGATATAAATTGGTCATTAAATGGCAGAATTTGTATCGCGATATTATATTTTGTAAAAGTTTGATTTCATTTGTACATCAATGATTTTACATTGTATGTTCGTTTTATCAACTTCGACTCACTTACCGCTAGATCAACTAAGTGGAGTTTACCAACTCGAACATGTTGTTCGCCATCAGGCCCTTTTTCACTGCATTCAACAGTGATTGAAAATATGGCATGAGATCGAGAAGATTGAGCATTCATATCTGTAGCACCTACAGATCCTAAAATAATTATAATTGTGAGGTTATTCATAGCAAAATAACTATTTGATTGAGCAATTATTGAAAATAATGTGCTGTATCTCGTCCCTATTTCATATCTACATACTGCTCTTATTCCCTATATTCATAATTTTATCCATATCATCGGCATTATTAACCACAAAAGCAGATAAATCTTTTACGTAGACGCCTACGTCCGGACGTTCTTTTACCTATTAATACATTTATTTTATACTCAAATTTTTCAGGTACGTCGGATTTGATGGTTTATTTAACAATTTGAACATGAGTTTTTGAATAAGTCTCTAAATTAGAGATTGTACCTCAAGTCTAGCGTTTTGATCTTTGCCTAATAAATCACGAACTTCTTCATTATAAATTTCCATATAGGAAACCCTAACTAGAAATCTGTTCAAATATCGTAGAACAAATTTTCAGTGTGGGATCAATTCATACAGAGATTTACTATTTAAAGTCTTGATGTCTTAGAATTTTGAAAATGGTGGATTATATCATATTAAGGCAAACCTGGCATCTCCTTGTGATTTTGCAATATGTCCAAATATATGTGCAAACGAATTTGGAATAATTCCTCTTAGTTCAGGAGTCGAGCGAACCCCCTCCATAGTAAATGTTTTGCCTGTACCCGTTTGACCATAAGCGAATATCGTGCCTGGTAGAAAGAGAAATACACGTATAGTGCGTGAGCTCAACATATAAGAAAGGCGTAAAAACTGAATTTAGAGCATGGAAACAAATATTTTGTTTTGATATTAGACCAATAAATGCGCTATGACTAAGTTAACATTATCATTACCGTTATAGCCTTCTAATACTGATTCGACTATCTTTCTAGCAGTTTGATTGTATACATCAACTTGCTTTGAATCAGATCCAAAAACTGTATCGAAGGTGAACGTTTTGGAACCATGATCTCCAGTGCGGCTATGTTCGGTATTGAGTGTTACTGTTCCGTTAGCTTCATTTACTTTTATTACGTGCGCTTGACGATCATTCTTTTCCTTTTCGTTTAAGGGTCTGCATCGGACAGCTACTTGCACATTATCCACTTCTTTATTTGACTGTGGTTAAATGAAAAAGCAATTGAGTCTACTTGAGTAAGCTAGGAAATTTGGATAATGGTATGCCAGAAACAACGTTAGTAACATGTATTGAAGACGGGATGTAAAATAATGCTGTTAAACGCAAAGAGAAATTTATAAAATGTATCTAATGCAATATAGCCAATAAAATGCTATAAGTAAAGTGATACTTGGTATTATCAAAATGAGAGAAGAGAGAATGTAGCAATAAGCTATTGCAAAATTACTACAGCTTTTGTGCAATTTCGCTAACTTTATGGCAACCTAATCTAAGATTTGGAAGTTACTGTAGAGATATCATTCTAGTAAAAGCAAGAAAGCGAAAGGCAAGGATAAATCCTCAATTAGGAACTAATTCGGCTTATTATAAAAAAAATGATGGCGTTACTTTATTCTACTAGAACGCTTTAGACGTGTGGAGTAAAATAATTTTAAAGCACATCTTGCAAGATTTTAATAACTCGAATGATATATATATATAATAATTATTATTGCTACAGTAGTTTGACTGGTTATTTGGATAGAATATTGTAATGTGAATGAATAAAGGTATCAACATCATATCCACTGAATTCGTGATGTATTGGGTAAAGTGATTGACACAGGTTGAGAACAGTATGCTCTTTAGGCAGGCTGTCATAATGTCATTCTCTTTTATTTTGACGTACCCACATTCAATGTTGGTGATGTACGCGTGTGCTTCGATTTTAAATAATGCGACGCTATCTTGGCATAGTCCAGCAATTATAATTATTAATGATAGTAATGTAGTAAATTGCTGAGCAATATCGATCCACTTGCAGTGAATGGTTAAAGTATGATGTTGACAGTGATAACGCCGAGTGTGATCATTTATTGATCGTCTGTAGTAGTTCGAATGTACATACCGGCATTTTCAACAGATTAGTCCTTCCTTGAGTGGCGGCAAGTTTAGGGGTATTACCGTGAAGCTACAACTGAATATAAAAATTTAAAATATATAAGAAATTGCTTCCCCCGGAAGCTAAATTATAATAGGATGGTTTTAGGCCAATGGAATGTTATCCAATTTTGAATCAACATATCTAGGGATACATCGAATGACATTGAGTGGCGATACTGTACAACGCTAGCGTAGTACAGTATCGAAATGGTATGGCGCATCAAAGCACAATCGTACCTCTGCTTGTCGACTGTATGATAACCTCTTGCTGCTACTGTACTACAATGTAGTACCGTCACTTTTAATAACAACTTTAAAGTTATGAACTTTAATATTATGAATATTTAATTGAGCCTGGAGTACTAGAAAGGAGACGACTAACTACTGGCCTTGGTTCTTGTGATCTATGTTCAAAATAGTTTGATAAGTTGGTGGTCACCGAGTCGGCCTATTCAGAAGCTTGTTGACTCTGGTGTACATTTGAAATACCGTTTCCAAGATACGATTGAAGACGATCGTCAGCGCTACTACAGTACTATGCCAGTGTACAGTGTACAGTACTGTCGATGAGACACTATCTACTGTAGTGTAGTCTTGGAGGCCACGAAGTCTGTGCCCAATACGGCTGTACCATACAGTGTACAGTACAAAGCTGTACTGCTCGTATTTACTGTATTGTACTGTACACTGTACACTGTACATTACAGTACAGTTCGTACTAATCCAGTACAGTACAGTTCAGTTCATACTAGTCCAGTACAGTACTGTACAGTTCATATTAATCCAGTACAGTACAGTACAGTACAAAACAGTACAGTAGTCCTGGAGTCCACAGAGTCCGTGCCCTGTACGGCTGTAGCATACAATGTACAGTACACTGTATTGTACAGTACAAAGTTGTACTGTTAGTACAGTATTTACTGTACAGTACAGTACGTACAGTACAGTACATACAGTT